TCATATTGACTGGATTGGATAATGTGGGAGTTGTGCTCGTAAGTGTCTTGACAATAGACAAATATGTGACCATTTTAGTAGGCACATTCAATAAAACTAGTGAAATGATCCATAATTAAATGTTGTATAGGCTCACAAATATCCCCTTGAATTATTTAAGGAAAGATGGCTCAAAGTCAATTTTTGACTGAGATGATCTCATGACAGCTTTTATTTGTGAGCATTCTGTGTAATGATATTTGTTGGACAAGACAATAGTTTGAGTCTTTAAACGATATCCTTACAAATTTATAAAAATATTATGTGTCATTGTAGAACATAGATTGCCAAGATAGTCATGCCACAACATAAAAGTTATCCGATCAATGAACTTCTGGTTCATGACATCATAATCTTCAACTACTGTAATAGTTGTGTAATATTGGAGCCTCATGAACTTCATGACATCATAAACTTCAACTACTGTAATAGTTGTGTAATATTGGGGCCTCATGAACTTCTGGTTCATGACATCATAAACTTCCCACCCAAAAAAGAAAGTAGAAAGTTTCTCCAATAGACGTCCCTGGCTATCAATATTGGGGTGGTAATACAAAACATTACCATTGTAAAACGAAATAACTAATAACTCAACATAAATAAAATAAAATAAAATGAGTAAAGTGGTATAAACGAGGAATAAATAAATAAATTAAAGACTATGAAATTCCAAGATAATCCAATATTAATGTGGATTCAATATGTAGATAAAAGTAAGTTTAATAATTGGATTTCTAACCAATTTAGGTTCATATAGGCACAAATAAGTAATGAACTTCAAGTTCATATATAGTATTAAGATCCATGAAAAACTATGAACTTCATGTTCATATCAATATATATTCGAAACCTCAGGTTTGAATATGTAGATCTAAATAAATTGAATTAATAGTTGTGCTTTGAACTTCATACTCAAATCGATGTATATGCACTCGAAACTTCTTGTTCGGGTTCTTGACATATGTAGGCATCATGGAATTTTGATTTTGATTAATACAAAATCGAGGAGTTTCATGTCTTTATGTGCTCTTTAAATTCGGAACGTCATGCCCTCAATTATTTGGAATCAAAGAACTTCAGGTTCTAATTCAATCAAAAGAACTCTAGGTCCTAATCTAGTTATATGATGAGGATCGAGGAACTTTAGGCCCTGATCTTTTGTATAATACAAACTCATCATAATAATTAAGATCATACTTAAAATTAAATAAACAAACAAATAAAAAAAAACATGACATTATATTCATGTGCAATAAGAATAAGAATTTTTTTCCTTAAACGAGCATGATGAAGTCTGATGGTGAGTATAAAGAAACTCTATGCCATGTGATGACTCTAGCTCATATAAGAAGAAAGAAAATTCAAAGGAAGAAAACATACCAAGAGCAATGTCGTGCTGATAACGTGTTATAAAACTAGAGGGAGAAAATGTAGAGAGAAGTGATATGCTAAAGATAAAGTTTCACCATGTTTATTCTTCTCTTAATCTTTGGTAGAACCACCTATTTATAGGCTTACAAGATAGGAGATTGAATACCATCATTTACAATATACCTATTGGTTACAAGCACTAATTACAAATACTTAGTGCATATTTACATAAAATCCAACGGTGGAATACTAAGAGGTATCGTGGTCATCCACCAACTCATGCATTTACAACTGTGTGTGTGTGTGTGTGTGTGTATTTATAATTGGGTTTTATGTGAGTTTCGAAGGAAAGGCTAAAAGCGTCTTCAACGGTTAATTGTTTTACTTTTATTCTTTTATTTTTATTTTCATTTTCATCTTTGTTTTTATTTTGTATATATACACACATATATATATATATATATATTAATCTAAACCAGTAATACATAAATTGATTTATGAATTAGAGGAAGTCCAGTGAGTGGACTTTTGTTTTATAAATGATTTCATGCAATTAAAGTTTCATTATTTGATCTTGAATGAGTTATTAATGACTAATACTTTCCAAACATAAATATTTGAATTCAAATACCTTTGTTATATTATGTTTATATTTAAAATGAGAATGGCTTGGAAAGTAGAAAGGATAATGGCAACATGATTTAAGGATGAAATGAGGAATAGTTTTATAATTTTCCAAGAAATGTTTTTAAACCACCATAGGTACCCATGTTGCCTTCGATTATAATGTTGCCTTCGATTATAATGTTGCCTTCGGTTATAATGTTGCCTCGGTTATCATGTTGCCTTCGATTATGTCAGCGCACTTGACAGTTGCCCCACGAGTCCTAGGGATACCCGGACCATGCGGAGCAAGGAAATGCAGATCAGGTTGACTAAATGTCCCCTGAGTCCTGCGAGGATTGCGGCTCAGGTCGACTTTGTGTTACCAAAACCTGCGAGGACGTGTCACAAATTGTGACACGAGGAATTGACGGTATACTGTGGGAATTGACGGAAATTAAGGAATTGATGGTTATATAATGGGTACACATAGGTGGAAGTGAAATATTGATTTTTCAATGCTTTAACGGATTTAATGATTTATGTAAACATGTGAAATATTATATAAATATGCATGTTCGATTTCTGTAAGAGTATAGCATGTGAACGTTATTGATCATATCGCTAACATGAGAACTTAGATTGATTTGCAATCACAATGGACACTAACAATTGACAAGATATATAAGTGCAGTATAAAAAAGGAAAGAACTACGTGTGGCTTGATCCCTTGTTAAGGGTACGTAGGCAACCTAGAGTTACTAGGTGCAGCCGCGAGACCAAGTGATTGAAAAGCTATTCAGTTAAGTTATTTTGAAATCTATAAATGTATTCGGGTGTTGTTTCTTTGGATCCGTTTTTGTTGGCATAACATTTTATTTGTTTTCGAGAGGCCTGAGGCCATAAAGATTAGATGTTGGTTGCTTGAATTATGTATTGAGCATGATGATCGATTGTGGATATATGTATAATGCTTTTTGTACATGTGGAAATATTTGGGAATAGACTATTTACATGAGAGACTTTGCCGAATTTTCGGTAGAAATCAAACTCGAAGAAAATTTGGTTTTTAGTTAGAAGGGCAATTCGGTCATTTGTGCCCGGCATCCGCCAGATGTCGGATACGCACAGGGTTCGGCTCAGATTCCAAAGTGGAATTTAGGTCGGGTCCTGTCATACTTGGTACAGTAGTGAGAGTGTCCATTTACCGGCTAGACCTCATCAACTAAACCTCACACAAGAGTATTGGTAAAGTCTGTCCGCGTAACCTCTCTGGAGGTTTAGGGGATCGAAACCCAGGGAAGACGCTATGCCCCCTTCACCCTCAAGTCGCTGAGGATAATGCCTGCATGCGTATATCCTCCAAAACTTTGGAAATCCAAAGCCAAGCATCCATAAAACCAAACAATATGGCATCCAAAAACAGTGCATCTTTCGCACACAACAATATTTACTATGTCATGCATACACAAAATATAAGTCCGTGAGTAAGTCCCCCTACCTAGAATCAAAGCTCAAGCCTGACTTGACTTCTGCACCTTCACACTCAAACTGGCCACTCTTGAGCAACTGAATCACAATGCAACTTTCATAAATAATACAAAAAATCCTTAATTGCACTTTAGTCCTTTTTCTTATCTTTAATTGCACTATGGTCCTTAAACTTAATTCAAATTACAACTTAGTTCTTATAAGTCCTTAAAGTTCCAAGTAATTGCAAAATAGTCCTTGTACTTTATGAAAATTCAAAAAATATCCTATTAGTCCTTGAAGTTCCATCGCTGGTTTGAAAACGGTAAAAATCATGGTACGGTAAAGTTAAAGTCTAAATAGTAATCCCTTTGGGTGTTTGGATCCCATTTTGCTGATTTCAGGTTTACTTAGCTTGTTCGAGGCATCGATCGAGTCTAAGGCCGCACATGTCTCAAGTGCTCAAAGCTAGTCCCGTGAAACTTAAGCTTACATAAGTTATGCTTTACTTACTATCAAATAAATAAATAATTAAATAATTAAAAGTTAAGTTTTACATGTACTAAGTGCCAGTTTTACAAGGTACCAAAACTTGCAAGTTTTTTCTTCTAGAGAATCGCAATTTTTTGTACCCAAAAAAAACAGAAGGGAAAATCACAATTTTAAGTTTGATTTCACTGCTTGACTTTTCTCTACTGATTCTAAAGGCTTCCAGTTTCTTGAGAGAAGTCGATATAGCTTTGTTGAAACTATCAATGGCATCAGCATCTTATTTCTCAGCCTCAATGCGCCTTTAGCTAAGCACAACCTTTGGCTTAGTGTACTTTTAGCCCAGCACAACAGGAATTTCATACTTGTTCTTGATGCGCCTTCAGCTTTTTTCGCATCTGGTCTGGTTAAATTAATTTTTGCTTGACATTTGGGGCATGGCAGGATATAACTTAAGACGAGAACTGCCATTCTATTTTTATCCTACGAAACAATGCTACTCCAGAAAGAGAAACCATAATGGGGCATAAGATTTTATCTTAATTGCCAGTGCCCAGCACTAGTCTCGACCATGTTAAGGATTTTCAGAACTTTGTGCTTATCTAGCATTCTTTATGTTATTCAGAGTATGCTATTCAGATTTCTAAAGCAGCATGTAAACCGAACAAAACACATATAATTTGTACAGCTAACCCCAACGCAACCCCTACCCCACAAAAGATCGAATGAATGGTTTCAGCTTTCAGGTTCAGCCATTGAACGAGAATTTCATGCCAATCAATCATTGAATAAAGACAATATTCATCAACGATAGTTTTCTGGCATTACCAACTGAAGCTAAGTAACCTCATATATCCAGAGTGCCACCATTTTGATAGATAGTTTCTTTGTCTGTTCCTTTCAGTATAATTCTTTCAATCTATCATTAACCAAACAAAAAACATAAAACTGCCCTCAACTTTTTTAGTGACTCAAAGCTGGTCTTTCCACCTAAGATCTCTCGCCTTCAAAGGGCATGGGCAGTTTCTTCAGGAGCGATGTGGGGAATACTTCTCCATGAGCTGGGTTAATTTGGCATCAAAATCCTTCTCCAGTTCTACCTCTTCCTCCCAATGCCTCCGCTTCATTGCAGCCCTATTGTCTTCATGAGCTTTTATTAGCATATCCCTCTCTTCTACAAATTCTTCCATCTCTTTTTCTTGAGACTTGATGAAGTTATCAATTTCCGCCGACCTACAGCCACAAGTATGAGAGAAATAAAAATCAAACAAAACCAGAAGCACCGCTTCAGGACAAGCATAGGGGTCCTAACTTTCTCTAGTCGATACATATTCTTTAACACACTTCTTACTTGTATTTCTTTTCCTCAGCATTTGAAGGATTGACATACGACTGCTTGACCTTGTCGCGTTCTTCCTGCTGCAGCCTCTCAAAGCTTTCTTCCCTTGCATCCCTTGATTCATGAATTATTTTGATTTGGTCTTTGAAAAATTGTTCTTGCAGATACATCTTTTCACAACAAAATAAATAAATAAGCAAACAAAATGAAATAAAAGAGCAAGTACATCTGCCGAAATGAACAAGAAATACAGATTACACTAAAGCATTTAGAAGCCATATGAAAAAACCAAAAAGATTGGAAACCACACAACACAGTTAAAATAACAACGGCACATCAAGCCAAACCTGGATGCAAGTGTAAAGCACAGTTAACAAAAGGAACATGCCAAAGATAGAAATGTGAAACAGATACTGAAAAAATAAAAATAAACGCTACAATGGTCTTTGTCAAAGTGCAGTCCAAATTTTACATGCATTTCAAACAAACAGATTTTTTTATAAACATTACAAACACAGTTAAAAAAAGGAACATGCAAAAGATAGAAATAAAAAATAGAAATGTGAAACAGATACTGAAAAATAAAGGCTACAATGGTCTTTGTCAAAGTGCAGTCCAAATTTTAAATAGAATTAGTATAACCACTTAAACAAATTGATTGGTTATAACAATTTCATAACCTACCCCACCCTCAGAAAAAATCATAATCCTCCTAACCGCAGGCTCTTGATTCAGACTTGTACTACAGTTGTTAACTTAAAGAAACAATACCAGCATGGACATCCATAAATGTCCCCACCAGAGTATAAAGGCAGAGTCTACCAACTGCTGCTTACCCCACAACACGAGTTTCAATCATAATTTTGGGGAGTAATTATATATCTTAACAGGGAATAATACCTCTTCCTTGTTCTCTTCGTGCTGCATTTTGGTCCTTTGTCTTACAATACGATTTTCCTCCGTTGTTTTCCTGAGCTTCTCACTAACTATACCAAGAGATTCTTCAAGCGCTTTGGCATGCCTCTGTTCCTTAGCAACCTTGTTCTTAAACCAATTAAGCTGCTGGTTGTCCTCACTCATTTGCCTGATTTGGTTCACAACCATCTCCTGGTAGGATCTCATCTCAAATTTCAGCTTCGATTTACCTAATTAGTGATAGAAACATGTAAGGACGTCCATATATAACATTAGCACAGATCTTAATAGCTGAGAGAAATACAATGCATCAAAGCTAGCATGTGAACTTAAAGGATTTAAGTGAAAGCTCATCGTTTTGTATGCAAGACACCACCCAAAACAGACACAAACATAGAAAGTGGCATGGGTGGAGAGAGAGAGAGAGAGAGAGAGACCTTGGGAATGCTGGTTAAATATGTCCAAGTCTTCTTTCACTGCCATGTACCCATAAAGCTGTCGCTTCCCACCTGAATGAAATAAGACACGACGACGATCCCAAGCATCTCTGTCTGTTCCTTGCTCTGTAAAATGCTTGTGCAGACGCTCAGCCTCTAAATAACCCCTCGCAGACGCTTCAAAGATCAAAATACTAATCCCACGGTGTCCCTGAGGACCATATGAGTGCCGAGCCCTCACAGCAGCATAAGTGCTGAAGTATTCAAGGAGCTCCTGATTTCCCATACCAATCCACTGAAATTCAAAAGCAACAGAAAATAAGGACTGGAATGATACCAAGACAAGGAACCTTTAGCAATAATCATGACAATGTGCACCTATATTTGAGATAGTAATTTGATTACATAAAATACTTTCAAGCAAGAAATACATCATTCATACCTTTTCATTTTCATCCTGCTCAAGTCTAGTGTTCATGATGACAACCATTGGAGGCCACACAATTTCATGATCCTTTTCCTCATCTTTTAAACCTTTCCACTTACCGAATGCTTCACCGGCAGGTATAACTGTAGTTCCCTTCCTCCGCAACTCCTCATCCAAAAGCTCCGCAAGCTCTCTGTGGAGCATCACCCTCTTTGATCCTTTTGTTTTGGCATGTGTCATTAGGGGTTGCAAGCCTCGGTACCAGTCAATGGCACCAGGACCACCTTGGCAAGCAGGACAGTGCCACTGCCTGGCAGGATCATTAATCTCATCAACAGTTAAACTATCCAAAATCTCAAAGAATTTCTTGAACCATCTGCTACTCTTTCGAGTTTCATGACTCTTTTCACTTGAATCCGAATCAAACTCATCACTATATAGCTCATCATCACTATCACCCGCAGCATCAGAGTTGTCATCATCATCATTAGCCTTAGCAGCAGCCACATCGCCGTCCTTGTCATAGTTTCCCTGGCCATCTTCTGAACCCTTGGGTTGAGTGAAACCCGCTCTGGATTGCCAGTTCCATCCGTGGTCCAGTGGAGGGGGAACTACTTGTTGAGGAGCCACATAGTTGTTTTCGGAAACCCTAGCAGAAGACTGCTGCCTTACATTTCCTCTTCCGGCTGGTTTTCTAGAATCAGCAGTTTGTGATGGCCAGAAGTTCCCAGAAGCCCTACCTGATCCACCACTATTCCTCATACTTGGCTTCTGAACATCAAACTCTGCCCAAGCTTTAGAATTAGAATTCTGAGGACCCCATTGTTTTGCAGTACTGCTTCCAGCTCTGTTCTTTGATTTCCTGGAAATTACCTCCCACTCTCCGTCATCTTGGGCTGACTCCAGGCTAATGCCTGCTACACCATGAGTTAACTGCTCAACCTTGGGGCTATTGACTTCCGAGACATCTTTTCCTTTGGGATTTCCTCCATTTCTTCTCGCACTCATCCTAAAGAATAATACCTTCTTTTGATAAGTTTTTAAAACAAAAAATCACAATAAAAACATTAAAAAGTTTGAGCATAAATTATCTTACAGGATCAAGGACATTGCAATTTTTGCTTTTGTAGACAATAACAAAATGATGTACGTGCACTTTCATTAAAATATCAATATTAAATGTCGAATCATAAGATAATGGTATACATTTATATGGTAAATGATACAACATACAACAAAATGATGTACGTGCACTTTCATTAAAATATCAACATTAAGTGTCAAATCATAAGATGATGGTATACATTTATATGGTAATGATACAACAAACAACAAAATGATGTACGTGCACTTTCATTAAAATGTCAATATTAAGTGTCGAATCATAAGATGATGGTATACATTTATATGGTAAATGATAAATGAGAGAGAGAGAGAGAGAGAAAACACATGCATAGAAAGTGAGTAAATGAGAGAGAGAGAGAGAGAGAGAGAGAGAGAGAGAGAGAGTTCATTTAAACATGGAAATCACAATTTTCCAAAATACACTTGAAATCCTTTCCATTGACCAAAAAGCAGGAATCAACATAAACTGCCAGACTAATCGTACAAAACCAAAAATCTTACATTTGATCAGTTTCTTTTCCACTTCACAAATCAAGATTAAAAAATAATGTCAAAATATGCACGAAACATATTCCCAGAAATAAAATTGTTAATTTGTACAACCTTTCAGAGCTAATTTACCAACTTCAAATCACAATACCCATTAACAAAATAAATCATTCAATTCATCAATTACATAGAATGAGTTATAGAACACCCATCATTCATTCTCCAACATGAAATTTTTCTACTTTGATGCCCTATACAAGGCAACATGCATGATAAGCAGCCAAGTAATTTTCCACGAAATAAAATATTTTCATAAACTGTTGGACGATCATACAAATTCCACATTTTGTTTTCCAGTTACAGAAAATACTTTGACATAGGATCTTTTCATACACTCTTTAACTCGGCACCGTCTTTTCTTTAGAAATATTTGCCACCAACCTCCTCAACCAAATATCAGGAAACACAGGTCCATTTTATTTTTCTTTACCTTATTTTCTTAGAAACAAAACAGAGCGCAAAAAGAAGGCTGTTAGACAAACATAATAAAACCCTAAAATTTTCACAAAAGTTTAATGCACAGAAATGTGACGGATCTAATATTCTAGAGAGAGGAGGTTCAAAAAGGGTTTTAGAGAGAGCGAGAGAGAGTGAAATTAAAAGCACAAGACGCACTGAAACAGATTGTTGTGCACATTATACTCCGATCTACATTTCTACGGCAAAAAATATATATATAATTAAGCACAAAATCTCAAAATTACACAGATAAACAAAGCTCGCAAGTACATACGCATGTCCTGCGAGAGAGAGAGAGAGAGAGAGAGAAAACCCTAACACAAGAATGGAATATAGATACGGCGATATCTATTCAGAGAAGTAAAGCTTCAAGAGAGATTACCTGAGGGACAGAGCCGATCGTTGTCGGAAAATGACTACTGTACGCCGGAAACGGAGGGTTTCGTCGCAATGGATGGCGCAGGAGACTGAGAATCACGCGCTCGCCGACAGAGTGAGAGTGAGAGTGTGAGTGTGTGAGTGAGAACGGGAAGAAATGGCGTGGAAAACAAGTCTTCAGAAAGACCATGCCTTTTATTCCCGAGTCGAGCCTGCACACTTCTGTTGGGTCCGGAATCCAAATTATTATGAAATCTCGTTAATTAAGGACATCTGTAGTAAAATCCTTGTGATAGGTTTTTTTTAAGACAAACTACAAAAGAACTCCCAAATTACTCCCAAACTATAGGGTCATTTTCAAGTTAATATGAAAAATCTATTACTTACCCACATCGTTATATAAATCGTTAAGAGCATCCACAATAATACTCTCTATTTTTTAATAAAATTTAGCTAAAAATATAAGAAAGCTATTTTAGGATCTCTCTAAAAAAATTCAACTCCAACCATACTCCCTAATTTGAAGAGTCATAAATGTTATAACTCTTTTTTGATTAATCCATCTCTATTAAAAAATAAAATTAAAAAATAGTTAACATTAAATAAAGGTTTGAAATACTCATTAAATAAAGCAGCATCGTCCGCCTTTATCATCCCTTTCTGTCTTTCCGGGATTGCCTATCGATGACCAACAAACGGAATCCAGAGGAGATTACAAGGCCATCCCATTCAAAAGGAATGAAGGGCAGGCAAAGAAAACTACCTTGACGAGCTACCAGTAAAAGGAATGAATAAGCCACTAGTAGTCCTTTCTCTCTCTTCATATTTAGAAGCTCCTAGAAGACTCCTTATTTTAAGAGGTGGATAGGGAGTGTGGTTGGAGTTACATTTTTATGATTCCTCTCTAAAATTTGTCTAAGGAGGTGGTTTAGAAAACCCATTGTGGATGCTCAAATAAGTTTGTTAAATGCTAATGTGTTAAACATAGCCCCACATGCACAAAACAATTAATAAACAATTATTTATTTTTTTCAAATGTAAAAAAAAAGTTAATAATTAAATAATTAAATTAAAACTAAAACAAAACAAAATAAAACAAAAAAACCATTAGATTAATCTAATGATTTTAATAAGTCCACATCAGCAAACTTGAATTAAACTAAAAACTAATTAATTGCACCACATTATTTCTCCAGCAAGGCAACCCTCCCTTCTTCTTCTTCTTCTTCTTCTTCTTCTGGGGAGGGGGAGAAGGAAGGAGACGAAGGTGTCAGCCATGGCTGGCAGTGTGGGGCAAGGTGTGGTTGCAGTTTGTTGGGGAAATAATAAGTGCAACTATTAGTTTTTAGTTTAATACAAGTTTGTTGAGGTGGACTTATTAAAATCATTAGATTAATCTAATGGGTTGCATTCTTTTAACTGCATGTAAATGCACCGATATTAAATGCAGAGGCTCGGGATCCGTCTTGACTAATTATTTGATTTTGCGAAGTTACATTTTTACCCTTGAACTAAGGTATTTTGGCCACTTTATATTCGAGAACAAATTTGGGATATAGAGTTACACCATTTCGTACAGCTCACTTTCATGAGTTCGTTGACCCATAGTGGGCTCAAATCAAAGTTTTAACAAGAAAATTGTGATCTACAGAAGTGTAGTGGTACAATCGTAATTTTGGAGAAGTCAATTTTTTAAAATAAACAAACTCCAAAGTCAAACCCTCCCACACTTGCCTCTTATGTTTCCCACATTGGTCAGTTCATTTGGTAACTCCCACAGCTCAAATCAAAAAAATTTCTTCAGGCTTGTTCATCTTGATGTCTAGTAGAACATATCCGAAAATTAGCCAAATCGAAGAAATATAAACACCTCAAAACCCAATTTGAAGATGAATTGGTCATCTCTACCTGGTACTCTGTGTTATGCACGAATTTGGCTTTGCATGCAAGTTTCTATTGCCCTTTTCCTTTACAAGCATTGTGGCTGAGGTTGAGAGATACAACGTATCCAAAATACATGATTTAATCATCTGAAATAGTGTTCAAGATGAGACTAGTCATCTATTTCTTTTGTCTGATAGTTTCACTCTAGTGTCAATGTAGTCACTCTGGCATGTAGCTTTCCTGTGATCTAATGACATATTTCCCTTCATGAAAGTTGTTTATCTATGCCTTGGCTATAAAATATCAAAATTTGAGCTTCTTCCAAAAGGTATAGCCAATCCAACATTCTGTAGGAGTGTAACCTATTCATCCTTATCTACTGTGTGGATGTAGGCTCAAATTCTGTCTTGCATGTTGATTTTCGTTACTCATATGAGAAATGTTCCTTGACAAAAGTTGTTGAGTCTTCTATTTTCTACAACATATCCAAAATTTGTAATCATCCAGCACGTTTAGCCTTCTCGGAAGTAGTACAAACGGAAACATGTTTCTTGCATTAAAGTGTTGTTTTGGTGGTTGTTCTCCTTAGTAGGTGAATTGACAACTTCATACCAATTCAGAGGATTGAGGTAAATATTTAAGATGTTTGATTTATGGAAATCTGTTTCAGAGGTTATATTCTTGAGCTTTTGTGGATTGTTGAGTTTTTTTCAAATGTTAAGTAGAATTGTGAACCTATAGGAATGTCCATATCGAAGATTGAAGTTCGTGGGCCCCACGGACCCGGTTGACTGGATGTCTTCCAAAAATAGTCTTGGTTCTTAGAACTCTTGACACGACCTCGAAACGTGTTCCTTAGGGCTGTGCACACACTTTGAGTCTCGAGAACTAAGGTTTTGATTTAAGTTCAGTTGGGTTTGATTGGTAATCTAATCTTCCTATTCTCTCAAATAGGTACACAAGCCCCACGTACTTCACAGGAGGGACCCTCTGAGGGTTGAGCTAGCTTCGAACTTGTTGTGAGTGAACATTGTTTTCAATGAGCATTATTTTTCAAATATGGAATTACATGCCTAAATAAATATGATTTGATTGGAAATTTGGGTTATTTTGGTTTAGTGGGATCATGAGATTTTATATAAGTTTTAACTATGGTTTTACAATGTTTATGGGATTTTGGGGCTTGTTATTATTTATATAGTATATGGAGTTTGGATTTGGGTTATGAGGGTATCAGGATGTTTATGGATATTGGATATGGTGATGCATTATGGTTTTGGTATTTTGGGATATGAGATTTATGTGGTTACAAGTCCGATATGGAAAAGATGATGGAACTTATGGAAAATATTACAGTTGGTCTTTGGGACCCATCAGGTTGTGTTGAGGCCCAAAAAATCCACGGTTCGGCCCAAATAAATTTTTGGCCCAATGCGATACCTTATCAAGAAGAAACCTGATTTGGGCACGCGAAAGTTCGTCATATACGCTTTGCACACATGCCACACCAAGCAAATAAGCAACATGCCACGCTGCAAGCTTAAGTAGGCCCAAGCCACGTTAATGCCTGGGGCTTGCTGAGCAAGTTGTGGTATGGATGGTTACGAGTATTCACGATGAAACGACCTGACCCAATTTCCACTTTGGAATCCGGGTCGAAACCTGTTTAAAACTGACACCTGGTAACCGTGGCTCGTAAATGACCAAAATGCCCTGAAAACAGTAACATAAACCCTGAGCCCCTAACTCGTGGTTGCGCCTGATAACTGTAGGCTGCCTACGTACCCTTACTGAGGGATCAAGACACACGTAGTTCTTTCCTCTATTCCTGACCTGTAACTAGTTTGTTTTACTGTAAACCTCACTCTAGGGCTGACATTTCTGGAGTATCCGAGACTCCGTTTTATGATCCGTCAAATGTTATATGATCCTGAAATTATCTAGATCAACATACTAGAACATGATTACGATTCAACAGTTCAAACTTGCTGAACCCAGGAATCACCCACTAGGCGAGATCCGTTCGGGGTTCAAACGTTATCCAAATTAAGATCTGCGAAATCCTACGCGCTCGTGGGGACTAGGAGATTAATCTAGGGCTGACTTTGGTCCCCACCCTGCTGCCCATGCGCCGCCACACCCGCCGGCAGCGCGTGGTGCCTAAAGCAATTACACTCCGCCGGAAAAACTCTAAACCACGGCTCAAGACTTCTACCCTAGGTATAATACCCTATTTTGAGCCACTTTTGTTCTTGGACCTACCCTAAAAACTGACCGGAAGTGGCCGAAATCTCCCCTTAAAATCCGGTCGAAATCCAATTCGTAAATCGAGTTGCCTACGCTACAAATTGATCAATTCCTACCCAACAGGCAGCTAGAGCTCGGAAAATAGGTGGGAAACCATACCTTACTAGTCGGGATTAGTGGCCGGAAGAGGAAGATCGGAGCCGGCGAATTTCGAGCGACACCCGGCCTGAAAATCATATTTTTCCGGCGGCTGGAGTGGCGGCCGAGGTCGGGGAAGGGCCGGGTCGTGACGCCGGGATTGAGCCGGTCCATTTGGCACCGGTCCCGTTCGCAGCCGTGGCCGGTGGTCGGATTTTCGAAGAGAGAGAGAGAGAGAGGGAGGTGCTGTCGGTGAGAGAGAGACGCGCCCCCAGGGGGAGAGAGAGAGAGAGAGAGAAGATGAGGGTTTTAAAAATCTGACTTCCCAAAATTACCATTTTGCCTTTAAACGTATTTTGACCGTATCTCCCTCAATACAACTCGGAATCGAGTGTACTGCATATCTACGAACTCATTTAGTCGCGCTCTACGCAACGGTATAACTGAAATCCCAAAATTCCTTCCCGGTCAAAAAGTCAACTTTTATACTATTAAAATATTCTAGGGGTATAGTGGTCTTTTATTGGAATAAATTAATAATTTAATATTAATTAAGGACTGGGTTGTTACACACGAGGCCCATTGATGGTCCAATGAGTGGAAGTTTTGGGCTACTTGGGAGCACCAAAACTTAAGCTCATTCCTTAAGTCCAAACATTTGGGCAAGCATGAGAGAAAACCCAATAGCCCATCACCTTAAGAAAAGGCCCAAACATCTTTAAAAAATGTCCAATAGCCAGCCCATAAAAAATCCCACATCAGCCAAAGCTTCCAGCAGTCTGACGAAATCAAAGGGAACTCACAAACCGCTGGAAACAAAACAGCCTAGCCCAGCATTTTATAAAATATCCAACATCGTGCTCTATTAAAACCAGTTCAAAGCCAAACCAGCAAAAGCAAGCAAACCCATGTGTTGATCACCTTTTTGACTAAGCACCCTTACCCATTCTTTCCTCTTCAAGCTTTGGTGAGAAAACAAGAAGCAAAAGTGGGTGGCACCTCACCTACATGAAGAGTCCAGCTGCTTGAGGACCTTGGACCCCAAAAAGCTGCGTGCCTATGGGTTCAGGCTAGAGAAATTTCACCAAACTAGATAAATGGAAGAAAGTGAAGGAAAATGGGAGAAGGTGGCTTGATAAAATTGAGTCTTCTAGCCCCTATAAAAGGAGACACTTTCTTCCCAGCAAAACAACTCACAATGGACAGAACAGACAAGAACGAATTGAAGGCAAGCATCCACTCTGGAATCCTTCAATTTCATGCTTTGTTCTTCCATTCCTCTTCCTCTCTCTCAAAACCCACATCTAGAGAGAGCAAGCATCATCTCTCATCTCTGGAACCCTTCGATTTTAAGCCTTGTTCTTTCATTGCTTCCATTTTTCTCCTCTGTCAAATCGCCCATGAGCTTGACGAAGCTTTCGTCAAGTTGCTGGAAATATTCTAAAGCCATCCATGCTTTCATCTTCTACCTCTCTTTCCATAACACAAATTTAGAGAGCAAGCTTCATCTCTCTCAAAGCCTCTGTTCCTCATAGGAAACCCCAAGCCTTCTCTTTCTCATGCTAAACTCACGAATACTCAGCTCCCATGCCACAAGCCCAAGAATTTATCTGTAAGCAACTGTTGGTTTCGTTGGTGAAGAAGACCAAGGTGTTTCCTAAGGCTCAGCTACCCTTTTGAAACACTCTTGGGGCCTGATCCTTGAACTCAGACTCAAGGGGCAATTTCACACATGTTTCTCTTTTCGGCAGCCCAAGCCCATTCGTCAAGCTGCTGGAATAAAAAGACCCCTACATAAAATGACGACTCTGCTGGGGATTAGGTCGCTATCTTCACCAATACCTCCAATTAGAAGCAATAAACCAGAGAAAATAAAGAGATAAGAACATCTATCTTTCTTTTTCTATTTTCCTTTTGTTGGCTATCTACTTTGCAGAACAAGCATAACATGCGTTACTGACATGTGCCTTTTGCTGGTGTCTTAGATCTCCATTCTCAAGCAAAACCAGATCTTGTACGAGGGCTGGGGGCTTAGGCAAATCCATCATTCATGCCATTGAAGCGAATTACACATGCAAACTCCAAAATACTTGGGGGCTTCGTGCCAAGCAAATCTGTGAAAAAAAGAAAGAAAGAAAAGGAGCCAAGCAAAGGCACCTCAAAGTTTCTCATGCTAAACCAAGCTATACCTCAGTTCCAAGAGCTGTGTGAACATTATTCACATTCTCATAGTAAGTCCAAGCTATATCATTCCTAGCCAAGTTAAATTCTTCCAGTTCCTACTCTACAAGCAAAGAATTTTTGGCACTTGCCTTATTTCAAATCTTCTTAGCCCTTGCCTCATTTCAAACATCATGCCACTGTATATGCTCCTTAACCCCCAAAAGCTCAATTTATCCTGGCAACAATTCAACAAACTCATATGCCAAGCATTTGACAAATTTATAGGGCGTAATACCAATCAACATGCCAAGAAATTTCATTTCATTCAAGCATTCCAAGCAACTCAAGCATTTCAAGCAAATTCAATAACTCATGCTCTTGCGACAAAGCCATACAACTTCATGCTTTCACGACAATATTGCTCAAGATCATCCTCTAGCAATGCCTAGGTCAGCACTCAATGCTAAGAGAAGGGACATGCTAAATTCCCAAGCAAAAATCAAGCATACATGCCAATGCCAAGCATATAAGCCAAAGCCATGCTATCATGCCAAATTGTCCCCATTGCAACAAAGGGATATCCTAAGTTCATCACACCATGCAATGTCCCAAACAAATACTCAGAAGGCCACGCAGTAAAGTTTTTTGCAGCTCATGCTAATCAAATCTTTTTATGATGATTATGGTGCACTTGGGGGCTGAGGAAGGAATTCATTGCAATCACCACCACCAACAATTCCAAAACCCCAATAACCAAGATTCAAGCCAAGCAAAACATGGAAGATAATGAGGCGATGTATGAAAAATAACACAAGCTCTATATTCATGCTGCCGGAAGAGTGAACCCTCATGCCAAATCAAGCTATATCTTGATTCAACTCAACCATTAGATTATCCAAATCCAAGCTAATCATGCCAAGCCAAGTCACGTTTTTTTTTTCCAGCACCTATTCCATGCCAAACAAAATAATTTCCAGCACATGCCCTATTTCAAAAATCAAGCATACATGCAAATACCAAAAATCAAGCATACACGCCAATGCCAAGCAATACCAAGCATACATGCCAATGCCAAGCAATACCAAGCATACAAGCAAAGATCAAGCGTACACCAATGCCAAGCATCCAAGCATACAGACCAAAATCAAGCATACATGCCAATGCCAAGCATCAAGCATACATGCTAATGCCAAGCATCAAGCCAAAATCAAGCATACACATGCCAAGCATCCAAGCGTACAAGCCAATATCAACCATGCAAAATCAAGCCTCCCTAGTCACTCAAGCAAATAAATCATGTAAGCTAAGTTATTTCGAGCTAATCCACCAAGCATTTTCTTCTCTGTCATGCCAACTCTTGGTAACTCTAGTAAGTGACCTCCAAAAATTACAGTGAGTCCTGTCTATTGTTCTTGACTGATTTTAAACCAATTTCTCTTAAACTCTATTTAAATTTTGTTTTATTTTATTTTCCTTGTTTTTATTTATTTACAAAATCAAGTTAAAGGGTGTTGGCGTGTGTGTGGAAGTCCTTGTGGTTTCAATTTTTATTTTGTTTTTGTGTTTAATAGTGTTTTATTTTTCGTTGTGTGACATTGATAAACATCTCTGTGGATTACAATCTTTGTGGGAACAACCCTTGCTTGCTTATTATACTTTCATTTGATTTGTGCACTTGTAAGGTTTTAATATTGTTGTTAAAAATTACAAACATATATCTTGATATTTCTTCAATAGGTGCTTAGGCTCCGACTAGCCAGCAAGTGGGACCCCACAAGGCCATACCAACTTGGACATTCTATGAGTGGACTTTGTTTTAAATAAGCATTGTTTTTAAAGAAAAAATTACATGCATAAAAAGGAATTTTTAAATTTAAATTTGTTTTTACTTGGATATGGGAAATATTGGGAATTTATGCACGTTTGCATGCGAGAATTATAAGGTTTTTATGGCTTTGAATGGAAGTAATAAGGGATTGAAATATGATATGTGCATGCAGTATATATTGATGGTGGTATTGATTTGTGTATATGTTTACCATAGTATGTACCTCCCTTATTACTGTTACTTTGGATATTTTAGACACACGATAACTCTTTGGAGGTGTGTCAGGAACTAGGCACCCCTGACTGGGTGTACCGAAGGCCTTAACGGGCTGTTTGCAGAGCAATAGTCCCCTGGTTGGACTGCTCATTCCCTAGCCACATGAGTATTGAGGATTCTGCCATGTGATATAGTAAAACAATCCTCGTGTTAGATTGTTTTCCCTTGGTACATAGCAATGGATGTGCGTGCATTTATATAAGTATAAAAAGGGATTTATGGGATTAACAGGTTTTGAAATCAAGCACGTGTATAAAGGTTTTACATGCATGGCTTTCAGGCAAATGTTTTCAAAAAGGTAGGGTTAGTACGTTTGTTATAATAATGTTTAAACTTTCTTTTCGTCCACTCACATTTTTGGTTTTGCTCCCCCCACAAGCCGTGACTTGATGAGCTTAACAACCAAGACTAGAAACTCCCTTTCCGCCTGACCGTCGCCATCATAGGACTTTCTTTTTCTGACATTTCTACTGTTTTTGACTTGTAAACTAATGAGATTCTTAGAATTCTCTGAATACGCCCATGTAGGGTTGGATTTGTGGCCTGAGGCCATGTGTAAATTGTGTGTGTTGGCGCTTGGGTATTATAATTGTGTTTCTTCCAGGTGTAAATTTTGGAATTATCCGTTTTTCAGAGGAGACTGCCAAAATTTCAATAGAAGTCTGACCCTTTTATACTTTTAAGGAGGGAAAAAGGGTTTGAATTAGTAAATGGGCCCAACATCTTATGGGTGTCGGAAGGGAAGCAGGATTTGACATGGATTCCAAGGGGAATTTGTGTTAAGTCCTGTCATTTTCCAAGCCCCATTAAATTACTAAATGATGCCCTAGATTCACACCACTAAATGGGCAAAGCATGATGACAATAAGGGTCAAAGCAAACAGATAAATGTTCTCGGAATTTTAAGAAAAGACAAGCAAGAAGTAGAATAAGCAAAGTAGCAGCTACAATCTTGAGGGATCTATGATGTAGATTAACAAGGAAGAAGTAACAGCTGTGAATCTACACTTCAACAAATTACCATAAACAATAGAGAAAAAAAAAGCCAAATTTTGGAAAAAGGAAAAAATATTTGAAGAGGTGCAAACCTATAGAGTTACTATGTTTCAACAAATTGCTAGAAACTAGAAAACACAACACACAGAGCAACTGAAGCCAATTTATATTTTTTGCAAACACAACTAGTACCGAGAAAGAGTAGTCTTACCTAGTAAATCAAAGCCCTAAAATTCTAGACGAAAATTAAACAATAAGTGAATGCAATAGAAAATGCAAACTTTAATATCAAAGAGAGAGAGAGGGAATTCGAGAGAAATGTATCGATTCTAACCAAAGAAAATAGGAGATTGTATTGAGAAAGGAGAATCTTTTTGAGATGAACAAAAAGGAGTAAAAAAAAAGAAGAATTCAAAGATGGGGGAATTGTGCGGGATTGGAAAAGGTGCGACATGACACGTGGACTAAGGGAAAAGTATAACATACCCGTTTGTATTGTAAACTTGCTTTTTCTCTTCAGTCGTTTAGATGACTTTGGATGGTTGAGATTGAATCTCTCATATAATGTTCTCATTTTAGCGTTCTCACCTGATCCGAGCGGTAATATATATGAGCTAATTGAGCACAAGCCTCATGTCCGGCTAGCCCATCGGACCCGGACTTTATTTACCGGCCTATAGTCATCCATTTAACTCATGCATTTACAACTATTTGAACATTTTTCTAGTGGAGCGGGGAACTAATTTCCCAAAAATCATTACCGTCTAGTTCTATTAGGCCATTCCAAAATTATCCCAAAAACTTGAGTTTATTTTTCTTCTCCTACCGGGCATCTCTCTCTCTCACTCTCTCTCTCACTCTCTCTCCCTTGCTCGTTCCAAATTTCTCAGTCCTCTGTGAACTCCACAGAAGAGAAAGAAGGCAAAATAAACCATGATATTTGATCTCATCTGCCTCTTTGTATTTAATAAATGAATGAATTCATGGCGAGAACCATAGTTGATACTAAATCAGGCAGCAGGAAGCTTCTTCTCAAGTAGGCAGTAGGGCAGTAGGGCAGTAGGGCAGTAGGGCAGTAGGCAGCAGTTGCAGTGAAGAGCGAAATCAAATGAAATGAAGTGAAAGAGAGCAAAAAGCCCTATACAGACACAGAGGCAGAGCGAGAAATGATGGAGAATGGTTATGATGGGAAATTTGCGGAGAAATTCTCAGCGTTGGCGATTTCGAACGCTGCTGATACTATTCGTTCCTCAAACGCCAACCACAACCACCAAAACGACAGCAGCTTGTTTCAGGTCATGAAAGCCGTGGAAGCTGCGGAAGCCACCATCAAGCAACAAGTCGAAGAGAATCTCCGACTGAGGACTGAACTTCAGCACAAGATTCTTGAGCTCGACAGATATGTAAGTCCCGCTCCGCTCATTTTCCATTCATTTCTGCAACAATTTCCTTCAATAATCATAGTATATGACAATATTCAGAATTGTTGATACATTTTGTTAGGCTGTGAGGCTTGCTTCTCTACTCTTTATCTTATTAACCGCAGTCAACTTTATTTATTTATTTATTTGTTGTTGGGGGGTTAGTGGGGGTTGTGTTGTAACTCATTTCTTGTATTGGATTACAACCCTAACTTGTTCAAGTGTTGATTGATGCCTCTTCTTCTTCGAAATGGACCGGACCAGTCTCGTATGCCCTCTTCATGTAATTGTTTGTTTTCTTACTTATTATGGGCAGAAACTAGATGAATCAATGGCCCAAAGGTCGCCTTCAGTTGATCCTTGGTCCGAGGGTCTCCAAACATCTTTTCAAGCTCATCAAACAGTTCCCACTGTGGATGGTCAAGACAACAGAATTAAGAGTACTGATGCCCCAATACAAAGTCATGCTGAAACTCAATCCAACAATGGCACAATCAATGGAACCATGAAGCTGCCTACAGATATTGCTGGCTCCTCTCACTTGTCTTCGCCATCTACCACATCATTTTCTCCGGGAAGGTATTTGACCTCAAATGCAGAGAATGAGGTTCCCTTACTAATCTTATTCTTAAAAGCAGTGTTAGTAAAGTATCTGAACAAATTCAGATGAAATTTTTTTTTGTTCGTCTTAGGTTTAACACGGTAGGAGAATATGATCCACCGTTCAATTTTTCTGGGCAAGGGCTGATGCCAATGGCTGAATTAAATACTCCTAGTAGCCTCTGGAAACAGGTATTGCATATACATATACTAGATGTTAGTTTTCTCTTTTTTATTATTTTAAGGTATTTCTCATGGACCAAAATTTGCATTTATTAGGATCTGAGTGTTAAGATTCATGAACATGAAGAAGAGATTATGCGTTTACGGAAACATCTTGCTAATTATTCAATAAAGGTATGCTTAAATCATTCACATTGCACTTCCAATCTTCACAATGGCTGCTTATATGCCAATTGTATTCCTTTGTTGATTGAAGTGACTAATGACTAGTATGATGATAGGAAGCACAAATACGCAATGAAAAATATGTTCTGGAGAAGCGTATTGCTTATATGCGTCTGGTAGGCAGAATTTCTCTTATATTCCTTATTAAACTTCTACACCCAACCCTTGTCTCTCTATCTCTCCCCTCTGAGTAATCTCTATATTATTCTGTTTTCTTCATGCTACTAGGCCTTTGATCAGCAGCAACAAGATCTTGTCGATGCTGCATCAAAAGCTCTATCTTATAGACAAGACATTATCGAGGAAAACATACGCCTCACATATGCATTACAGGTGCTTTGCCTTTTCTCCCCTGTTTCTCTTTTACACCGATAATAATGTCATAAAAAAAATGTATAAGTTGTCAGTTGTCTTGTTTCATAACTGAGTTGAAAGAATAATTTTTCATTTGCTTCTGTCAGGATGCACAGCAAGAGAGATCAACATTTGTTTCATCTTTGCTGCCTCTTCTTGCAGAGTACTCTTTGCAGCCACCAGTTCCTGATGCCCAATCAATTGTTAGCAATGTCAAGGTCAGCTCAAATGACCTTTAGTTGTGTTATGTCTAGAATAGATATGTGTATGTTTAGAGTAGGTCAGCTTTATTACTCTTATCACTTGCTTGATAGTTTGTGAAATATTACTCTCTTCCTGATTTAACTAGGTTTTTACTCCTATAGCTTGTGGAAATTTTATTTTAAGCCTTGTTTAGAAAACCAAGGTTAAAAATGTTGGTATTGGTGGATTATATAGGAAGAATGTTGGTATTGAGTATGGAAACAACATAAATTTCCTTTAAAGAAGGAAAATTGTCGATGACACTTCTAGAAACCCTAAAACAGTTGTAATGGATCAATTAAACGTGTACGCTTGATATAATAGTATATCCATGAAGAAGTTTGACATGTAAGATGAAAGCAATGTGCGGCGCTGACACATGACTTTGAATGTTAAAATATAATGTGCAAAAGTATATTTTTCCTTTTTTAAAAAAAAATTGCATACCTTGATGGTATGTGGTAAACTTTATATGCAAAAAAGAGTACATTAAACAAGGGAGGACGTTATGAGTATTATCCTCAAGGAAAACTAATTCAACGTGGAAGAAATAAAAACAATTTGCATTAGCCTATATGTGCCTTAGCCCTCACTGGTGTGCTCTATGACATAAGGCAGGGGAGAGTGTGGACTGTCTCCTCCTTCATTGCCCTTTCTCTCTAAAGTTGTGGGAGACGTTATTGAAGGAAGTTAACACGGTGTGGGTAATACCGGAAGGCTGCTTTGAACTTTTTTCCTTCAGATTTGATGCTTTCGGAAGGGGAAAGAAAGCTAAAGTTCTCTGGGGCAGTCTGATGCAGGCAGTGGTCTGGAACCTATGGCTGGAACGTAACAGGAGAATCTTCGAGGATTAGAAGGGAGTGGGAGTGGTAGAGTTATGGGATAGAGTGAAGTTTTGGGCTGCCCTTTGGGCATCAACTTCCCTTGCTTTCAAGGATATATCCTATCCTACAATTCTGCGCAATCTGCTGGCTGTAGTATCTTAAGGGGTTGTCTTATGTTTGGTTGTTTTAGTTCTGTGTTGAGTGGCTTTGTGTCTGTTTCACCGGCTAGTGTTTTTTCTTTTTGTCTGTGTTCTAATTTAAATGTCCTTGTTTTTGATCCTTTCAAATTTGAATAAAAATATTAAAAAAAAAAAAAAAAAAAAAAAAAAAAAAAAAAAAAAAAAGGAAGAATACAAAATATGCCTATATATGGGCAGGAATTGGGGAAGGCAGTTGAAATATGAATATGAAGAAATAGGTGTGCCTAGATACTTTATTCTTTGGACAAAGGATCTAATTGGCTTATTGAGTGGGAGGTGGCTTAGAATAGCCAAGAAGGAGAGGTGTGGGATTTAGAAACTTCACAAATGGCTGTGGAGGTTCCCACTTGAAAATGAATCCGTTTGGCTGTGATTCAAAACAAATATGGGCTTAAGGAAAAAGGGTGGAATTCTAAGACAGTTGTGAGAGGTTCAAGTTGTAGTCTGTGGAAATATGTTTCCCACAGGTATTCTCCATTATTGAGTTGCTGTCAGTTTGTTGTGAGAAATGGGGATATAATTAAGTTTTGGGAACATGTTTGAGTGGGCAAATTTTTTCTAAACATTCTGTTTCCCAGGCTTTACAGACTGTCCAGTATCCGTAATAGAGTTATTCCTAGCATTGCTGACTCTAACTTTTGTGGAACTGGATTTTGGGAGGAACTTGAGTGAGGCTGAGATGGCATAACTATCTTCTTTGTTGTCTTTACTTCAAAAATGTTCGTGTCCACTCTTTGAGGGTTGATTCAAGAAAGTGGTGCCTAGAAATCACAGGGAGTTACAGCAAGTGTGGTTACCTGTTAACTAAGTAATTTAGGTATTGAGTCGTTGTTCCATCCCTACGGTATGAATTGGAAAGCTACGGGTCCCACCAAGGTGCAGACGCTATCATGGTTAGTGGCTCACCATAAGATGAATATTTGTGATATGGTTCAAAGGAGGAGACTAATTACTTGCTTACCATTCTCTTCGGGTGGTTTGGCTGGAGAGATAGGGTCTTCTAAGATTATGCGGTATGGGAATTGAGGAGTCATGGTAACAAGTTCAGGTTTTGTCAGCGCTTTGGTCATCTGTCACCAGAGGGTTTATTCTCAAATATTTGGCTAGATTGGCAAGCTGCTGTTGTTATTGCTGTCTTTGGGAGGGTCCTTTTGTTTTAGTTTAGCTTGTTATTTTCTTTTCGTCTGGCTTTTCTGAAGTGGTCCTCTTCTCCACTACTCTTGTACTTTGTAATTATATTGTTTGCTAGCAATAAATTCTCTTTTATATAAGAAATGTTATGTATTTATGGGTCACGTTCACCAGTCCTATTTTCTGACACAAATTTTAAACCATTAGACTAAAACTCTTCCGAAGTTAAGATTCTTTGTTACATGGATTATTTCTTTAAAAAATTAATAGTTAATTTTTGTAATCTCTTTCCAAACCCAAAAAAAAAGTAACTCTTCGTTTCACTACTCAACCCTTCTCTCTCTCTCTCTCTCAAAACTATAATTAAAATGTCAAAATTGGCAGAGTATAACTCTGAGATCGTCTTTGGTCCCTTTTGGCAATGGTGGTGCCCACTTGGGTGGAACCATGTAATGCCTTTGGGTGGGGATTACAGCATAGTGGGAAATGAACCATGCATGTAGTTCCTAATGTTCAGGAAGTATAGCTTAGATTGCCAGACAAAAGCCTTTCTATTGTCCATGTTGTGTAGTACCATTACAAATTTCAGAAAGAAAAAAAACAATTGTTGCTTCTTTCTTGTTAGATTCTTTGCATGTACCTTTTTTCTTCTTTTCAAATTTTCCTTCCATACCAAAAACCGAGTCCATTTTATGCTTTTGACAGAAGTTGCTTACTTATCAGTTCATTTTTGGTCTTCTGCCACTCCCTCCCATCAAATCCTGGGGCATAGCTCAATTACTTGTAAACCACATAAATCATTGTGCCTTTTGTGTGCGAATTTTCTTGTGGGTTTTGTATTCTTTTCCTATTGTGTCTTACTTGTGTACGATGAATAGGCTTATATTCTTAACATTTCGTAAATTGACTCAATACAATGACAACTTAGATGAGTCACTCCGATCTTAGGTAAAGTTGGCTTGGATTTAAACGACGGTTATGTTTATTTGGGATTTCCCTAAGTATTTGGAAGGTGGAGTGGTTCTTTGCTTGATTTGGCATTGCTTACCCCTTGATCCTAGCCTTATTACAAATCCAAGGATTCTCTTGTATTGTTTAGGGTCAGTAATAATACTCAAAGATACAGGATAACCCATGGATTTGTAAGGCAATGCTCAAATTAAAAGTCAAGCAATACCAAGACTAGCAGAGGAGCTAGATCCCTGAAAGGTATACCATGCTAAATTTTTTATTTCTATTTAAAAATCATTTTCATGGTGACAATTGCTGTTTCCCCTGATTTGCTCATCTTAATTTCTGTAAATTCCTATGAAGGTTCTTGTTCTCTTGGTATTCCCCTTTAGCAACCATTCTGTTTAAAACTTTTAAGTGTTTGTAATTCCGATCTCTTTTCCATCACTAGAAGCAGCATAGTGTACAGTTCTACTAGAAGTTGTCCAACCTAGGAGATTGAATTATGTTTAGAGAAGATATCTGTCAGTGTTTTGTGTGCTATACTAAGACTTCTCATGAAATGAAGTTGCTTTATAGTCCCTGCATCTTCTGCTTTCTTGCAGGTTCTATTTAAACATTTGCAAGAAAAGCTCCTTCTTACTGAGGTATGTAATGCAAACTTCAGAGTGCTAAAAACCTCACCTGATCTGGCAAATTTTTTTAATTTAACCTCCACTTATAGTACTTTAACCTCCACTTATAGTGCTTTGAGATGTCTTTGAGCAGTGCATAATTTTTTCACCAGAATTGAATTATTTGATTACATCCTTTCCTTGATAACAGACAAAATTAAAGGAGTCACAGTACCAATTTGGACCTTGGCGCTCAGATTCAAATCACTCTAACATTGCCCCGCAGTCACCGTCTCACTCCATTGGTGCAGCATTGGCTACTTCAGTATGTTTATTTCTCTAGTTCTTCCTCTTAATATCCTGTAAAAGATTTTCATCTCTTTTGTGCTTTTTAGCAGAACAAAAATGGGCTAGAACTGGTTCCGCAGCCAATATATTCCCATGAAACAGTACCAGTTTCTACTTCTGATGCTCAGACAACCACAGAGTGGGATCTATTGGGTCGCCATCAGAGTGGTTTGGGTGGTGTTGTCACAAATAACATGAAAGCCAATGGCCTGGGGAGGTATTCACCTATAGAAAGCAGGTGAGCCTGGTCAAATGGAGACTGCTTCTTACAACCATCTGAATTTGTTGGTGGGTTCTGATTTCATTGGATTTGAATGTTGAATGGTCATACATGGATATAATTGACCAAAATGCTATTGAGTTAGAGTGAATCACAAAGCATCTTTTTTTGAAATCATAATTTAACCTTGTTCACCAATGCTCATAGGTCTTTAGTTTGTCTATTGGTTAGGTCCTTATTGGTGCCAGTTGTTACAATATCCATTTTTTCACTTTGAAACTGTTGTGCCTAAGTGCCTATATATATTTTTTATTTCTGTTGAAACTAGTGTGGTCTTGTTATAACAGTTCTTTCTAAACTATAAACGATTTGGAATTTATGAATCATGACCACAAGTGATATGAAGAATGAAGAAGCTTATAACAAACTTTCTAGTTGGTGAAAGAGATGTGAGGAAGGCGAAGTTAGTGAAGCTCATTTACTGTTTTTGGCTTGTTAGAGAACCACTAAATCCCAAACTGGATGGGGCCTCATGTGCAGGCCATCCTGAACATGGAAAGGCAAGCAAATGCAAACATAGAGAAAACATATTGGTAGAGTGCCACCCTGCACCTTGCAGATCAACAACCTAGTGAGGAATGAGTGCTAGAGGTTTTGAACTCAGGACCTCATGGAATCAGAGCTTTGATATCATATTAGATAATCACATACCAGTAGTCCCTGAATGCTTCAGATGTTAGGGAATGGGCCAACAATATACGTCAAGCTAACAGATATATATTGCTACATTTATACCCAGTTCATGTCCAGCAATAAATGATTGATAAGTCATGCCGTCAATCAACAGACAATGGATTTTAATTTTTAATTTTTTCATAAGCCATTGGATATTTAGAGTGTAAATGAGTAACAAGGCCATTTAATGCTTCAACTTCAACAGCCCATTTATGAAGTTTACAGGGCCAACCAGCAGCATAAATTTCACATCTGTTCCGAATAGCGTATTTTCCAAAAGACAGAAAATATGCCATAAATCTCAAATTTAATATGATTGGATGCTTTAGGATTTTCTTACATAATTTGTCTTCACAGATTCAGACCAAATTTATTTCCATTATTGAAGCATGAGTTTAAAGTTTTGTACTCATTATTTACAGATTGTTAGTGGTAATCAGGAAGCCAGGGAATATATATGTATTTCTATGAATTTATATGCAGTCTCTTGCTCAAGTGTTTCAGTTGTTTACTAGGACTTCTGCAGCCCAAGATGTACCTACTCAACTTGCTGTTACTCAGGGTGATGCACAAGTAACTCAGTACAGTGAAGAAACCACCAATAAACAGGTCACATTTCGTGATCCTGTCAGGAACTCAGAGAGTGATTATCAAGATCCAGAAGGAAACCATAATGAGAGAGAAACGTCAGCCAATTGGAATTCAGGAAACGCTCCTTACACAACAGCGCTTGATGATCCCAGCTCCTCGTATGCCCATTATCTACCACCAGTGCTTGAAGAACCTTCTTCTTCGTTTTCAGAGGGTCATTATCTATTTTGCACTTTGTTTATTGGTCTTATTATTGAGTCTTGTCACTTTAAAAATCAGGTATATTTCAATATGCAGCTGCAGATGATGATCCGTTACCAGCTATAGATGGCCTACAAATTTCAGGCGAAGCTTTTCCTGGACGGGAACTTCAAGCATGTGGATACTCTATTAATGGAACAACCAGTTGCAATTTTGAGGTGTGATTTTGAATATAACTTTTCCTCAGCCCCCTCCAACACCCACTAACTTGTGTAAAACCTAATCATTTTGAGACTTTTGTTAGAGACACATACAAATTTGTAATCATATATATATTTTTACTGCACTTCCAGTGGGTACGCCATCGGGAAGATGGATCTGTTAATTACATTGATGGTACTGATCTTTTCCTTTTATGTTCGATGTTGGATTTTTTTTAAATTTAAAATTTTGCATCCTTTTATCATGTCAATTCTGAGGCTTGCCGAGTTTCTGATAATAGGAGCAAAGCAACCAAACTATCTTGTTACTGCTGATGATGTTGAGGCATACCTTGCTATTGAAGTCCAACCTCTGGATAACAGGAAGCGAAAGGTACTTTCTCAATTGTAGTTACATGTGTGGCTGACTTATTTTGTCTCAATATTGATCTCTCTCTCTCTCTCTCTCTCTCTCTCTCTCTCTCTTTGGGGGATGGGGGCAAGGTTTTCCGAATGTTCAGTACAAGTGAGGCTTGAACACAATGAAATGCATGAGTTGTGTAATTAGTTTGATGTTCAAACTTTGTGCCTATACAGTAATTGGCTATAACTTAATAAGGTATCTTTCCAGAATGATATTTTTTATTAGGCACCTTAGATGTGCCAAACATTTCGGAAAGCTCAGAGTAATTGCTACACATGGTTGGTCAGTAATTCTTCCTTGGTCTTCTGCATTTCAGATGTCAAATATTTAGGAAAACAGTGTTAGTATGTGGGAGGCCCAACTCTAATGCAGGAATTCATGCTAGCATTGTGTGGTAGCTACCATTATCTGTAGCTAAAATAATATACAAATGCTAGTTCATTGTTGTCGCTACTAACCGTGGCTCTACTTGTTATAAGATCCGATGTATCTATAAGAAAATGAACAGTAAGTTCTAAGTTGAGTTTCTTGTAGTGCAAAACCAGTCGCTTTAAAATGAGATGAGTGCAATCCCTAGATAGATTTTCTGTTTTCTTTTTTTTAAAGGTCTTTTTTAATTACCTAAGGTCCTAAGACAATCCCTTAATTATAGGAGATGGAATTTTCGGGATACATTTTAACCCTCTCATAGAATTTGTACCGGCATTCACAACGTGTCCCAGCTTGCTGCAAAAAAAATTGCACACAGCATAAGGGTGGGGTGTGGGGAGTTTCGAGGCCCCCTGCTTTTAAATTGAAGGAGGTAACCCACCATTTGGGCTGCACCGCATTTTGTATATGAAGTTATCTCCACATAGGACAGGAGATATGAACCCAACCCACCCCTGCAGTGCAGTTGCTTGTATACCATGTTAAACCCATGGGTAGAACTCATCCTTGAAAGCAAAACTTACAAGGAAAGGGTGCCCGTGTGTTTATATACTGCACCTACTCCCAAGCGAAGGGTGTTCCAGGTCACCAATTCTCTTTAAGAGAAATCTTCGTGATAGAGAGTTTGATATGTTTTTCTGAATTATTTTCTTATATTAGTAACCTCACTGTTCATCCTTCCTGTGCTTGCGAGAGGGTTGTTCCAGGTCGTTTCTTGTAAATCCTGTTCTATGTCTTTCTTGATAACCAAAACCATCCTACACTTGGTCCTTAGTTCATTTTCGAAGTCCAGTTACTTGTCTGGGTGGTGGCCCATGGCAAACTCTATACCTGTGAGATTCAACAGAGGCAGCCTACACTTCATTGTCTCCTCTTTGGTCTGTTCTGTGAAAAAATGCTGGCGAATCTTCTTTCACGTCTCAAATTTGGAATGGTTTAATCTTGGTTTTTTGTTTGGATTGGGTGGTTCTGAGCGCTCCCATCTTTTTCAGTTGCATCTGGGTGTTAATCTTGTTCGTACGTTAATTTCTTCTTCTTCTTCTTGTTTTTTTTCTTTTCTTTTTTCCTTTTGGATAGAAAACTTAATGCTTTGATTAAAAAAGGGAAGTACAATCACAAAATCTAATCCTTGTTTGTTCATTAACTTGGTTTTTTAATGTAGGGAGAGCTTGTGAAGGTTTTTGCCAATGAGCACAAAAAGATAACTTGCGGTAAGTAAGATGACTGAGGTATTTTGTAAATATCAAGCCATTCAAATTCCATGGATGTCACTATTCTTTTCTCTTTATTCACAGATCCTGAAATGCAAAGTCACATAGAGAAGATTCTTAGTAGTGGTCATGCTTCGTTTAAAATTTATCTGTCGGTATGTTTGTACATGAAAAATCCCTCCATTTGTACTTAGTGTACTTATTATTCATTTAGCAAGTTTTTAAAGATACATTATTGTTTTTTCTATTGAAAGTACCTTTTCATTTTACAGACTGGATATCTTGATATATGGGAACCGGCTACGTTGGCAATTAAGAGGGAAGCGTATAGTATTAAGTGTAGTGAAACTAGTGGTGTTGTACTTACAGAAAAGTTTTCGCCAACAACACTTGTATGATTTCTTACTTATTAACCTTTTTGTTATTCTGCATGGATTGGTGAGGCTTGGCCAGCTTAAATTGCAGTAGTTTTGGAAATGAGTAGATGTTATAAACCTTGTAGGAATGTGAGTAAACGGTGCTGAATTGATTGATAGACTTGCTTTTCATTTTTTACTTATTTATTTATTCCATGATTAAGTAAGCTCAAGTGTAGTTCTAGCTTTGCTCAATTGAATGTAGCATATAAAGGGTTTTCCAGATTCATGCTTTGTTAGAAGCCCAATTAAAACCTGGATGAATTCAGCATGACTTGTGTCCCTAATTGTAAATGTGAAACTGCGGTACTACTCTCTTTATTACTATTGTCTGGCAAGAAGTGAATATACCTACATTGGTTTATATATGATTCTAGTTCTTTGAGAAAATCTGAAATGCTTCCTTTAAAGTACATGAGTGGTTTAGATTTCACACTTCAGGGTCAGCTTCTAATGGGTGGGATGCTATTCCCGCCACTTCGGTTACTTCTCTCAACCCTTGGAAGGATATTTCGGCAGGTTATCAATCCTTTTTACAGTGCTGCAGATTTGAGGTGGGAAATGGGAATAGGGTTAGGTTTTGGGAGGATAGTTGGGTGAAGGAGGGGTTGTTGAAGGACTCTTTTCCGCGCTTGTTTGCGTTGTCTTCAAAGCAGTCCTTAAGCATTGACCGTTTTGTTGATTCTCACGTTTTTCCTCATAATTGGGACTTTGGGTTTAGGAGAAATCTGAATGATAGGGAGACTGCCGAGGTGATTAAATTGCTGGAAGTTCTGGAAGGTTTCAGATTGTGTGCCTCTAAAAGGGATAGGAGAAGGTGGGATCTTGAGGTGTCGGGTTTTTTCACTTGCAAGTCCTCTCAATCCTTTTTACGCAACAAGGGGAGTGTTGTGACATTTCTTCCTTTCTCTAGTGTGTGGAAGGCCAAGTCCCCCCCTAAGGTCAAAGTATTTGTTTGGTTGGTGGTGCTTGGGAAAGTTAACACTTCAAATCTTGTCCAAAGGAAAAGACCTTTCATGTATTTGTCTCCTCAGTGGTGTGTGTTATGTAAGCTTGGTGAGGAGAGTGTGGACCACCTTTTCTTACATTGCCCCTTTTCCTTAAGTCTTTGGGGGCTTTTGTGGAGGGAGGTTGGGACCGTTTGGGTGATTCCGAAAGGGTGCGCTGATTTCCTTTGTTCTGATTTTGAGGTGTGGGGTTCGGGGAAGCGCGCCTCAACCTTGTGGGGCTGTCTGGTTCACTCTGTTTTCTGGAACATTTGGATGGAGCGTAATAGGAGAATTTTTGAAGACTACAAGGGAGTGGGAGTGAGTGAGTTGTGGGATAGAGTTGAGTACTGGGCAGCTTTGTGGGCTTCTGTTACTGAAGATTTTAAAGATTATTCTGTTTCTACTATTTTGAGGGATATGGCAGCAGTGGTTATGTGAGGGTTGGGGGGTGTGTTGTTTCAGTGGTTTTTTGGCTTTGTTCCTCCCTGTTAGTTTGGGAGGGGTTGGTGTTGTTTGTTTCTTTGTGTGTTGGTGTTGTTCTCTGGTTGTGGTTGTCTTATCCACCTCCGTGTTCTTTTGCTTTATAAATTTTGTTTCTTCTCAAAAAAAATTCTTATTCAGTGTTTATAGGCTTCTTGCTTAGCATTGGTCCATTGGATCGTAGATTGAATAAGGTATTGGGATATGTTGAAACTCTTCTGATGCTTTTATTAAGGGGGAGTCAAATTTGTATTTGTTTTACGGCTTACCCAGTAAGTACTAGTATTTTCAGATCTATGTTTCTTCATGATTATGTTGTATGTAGTTCCTGTCTTATTTGACTTCTTTTCTTATTTGTCAGGTAACAATTCCATATGGAAGTCCTACAGAACTCATAATATCTAATCCTGGCGGGGGTGAGCATATTTTAAAAACAGATGATAGCTCGACCGATATTAGCTGGTAAGCAAAAAATGTTTCCATATAAACAGAAAAGAAACAGGAAAAATAAAAAAGTCCGAAATTTTTTGTTTTGTGTGAACATAAACATTTGAAACATTTTAATGCATTCCTTTGAAACAACCAGATCAGGATATACCAATCATGGACTCTTATTTGGTGTTTGGTAGTTATGTGTACAAATTATATGTTGGATATATATTTTTTATTATCGTGTTTGACTGGCTCCTCAGTACTGGCAGTTATTTGCATATAAAACCCACTCTCTACAGCCAACTGGAAAATGAATAGCTAGTTTATTTTAATCAAGTAGACAATTGCAACTACCAAAATGATTTTATCTTCTTTTTTTTTCCTAGTACGTCTACATGCATTGTTAGCTTATTATTCTCCACAAGAAAACTTATGCTTCAAGTGGTTTAATCTAATTGTATAAGTAATTTGAAGAGCTGAATTATGGAATATTGAAGGGGAAAAAAGAATATGAAAGAGTTAATCATGCATCAAGTAATTAAGATGCAATTTTCTTTTTATAAGAATGTGAATCTTTAAAAAAATAAAAAAATAAAACAGTATAACAGATCTGACCAAGAAGTCCACTTCAAAAAGAAAACTAAACGTGCAAACTGCGTTACCACTTCAAGCCTAGGGAAAACACCAAAACAAAAAGATAATTCCAAAGAGCTACAAAACAGATGATTTCCAATCTGACAAATGATAGAAAAAGATAACTCCCTAGAAGTTAGAACCATACTTGTGATTGCAGCCTAGCAAAGGGAATTTTTCTGTCTGGAATCTTGAAAGCCGCTTCCCAAGCAAAGCCTCATTCCCCTAATCCTCATTTTTCTTTGGGTTGTTGAGACATGATTTCCCAACATGGTTGGACAATGATCCAAAGTCAATCTAGTAAGTAAGTGCAGCTTGCCTTGCATGAGGAGAGAGCTCCTCCCAATCCACAGTAAATAGACCAAGTAAAACTGCATTATGAAGTTCATGATCCCTCAAATTTGTTTGCTTATAAAATCATTAAATGCCCTCATGCTTTTTGTCACCCACCACCATTTGACATTTTGGAAGCAAACCTAGTGATATTAAAATCTCCGCCTATACTATACACCATCTTGATCCACAGCCCAGATAAAGGCGCCAACTCCTCCCAAGAAAATCTCCTCCATCTAGATTTGTTTGACTCGTAAACCTGTCAGCCACCAATCTCTTCCACAATTTTAATCGAACAAGAAAACTCTCCCAGAACAGATTCCTGACCGCGACCACCTTAGTGTTCCACTAATCAATATCCCCCCTGACCTGCTTCCACAAGATGACACAAACACCCAATCCTTATGCCTTCCCCCCAAATACTACTCACTATCTTATCAATTACCACCCTTTAGTCTCTTGCAAAATTACTAAATCTGCACCACAGTTGACAAGTACTCCTTTTATTACCCTTCACTTGATCGCATCCCCTAAACCCCCAACGTTCCAGCTAACAATCTTCATTGGACTTTCTCACTTTCCCCTGACCTGCTTCCACAATATCCCCCCAGATTCAAACTAGTCAGAACATCCCCCAAATTCTCCACCATCTCCTCTGCGTCCTTTTCCTATTTCCGAAATCCCATCTGAACCCCTCTTCTATTCCAAGAACTCCACTGGAGACTTTAAATTCCCTCCAACGGAGTAATCTTTGATAGATTGATGTTGCTCTATAGGATGTGGCTGTGACCCTAAAATCTAAGAATCTGCATTTCTTTGCACCTTGGACAGACTCTTTCCTGGGCTTAGATTAGAAGAGTTCAACAAGGATGCTGAACTAGACAAATCCCCTCCCTCAGCACAAGGAAAATACCCACTTTCTTTCTTTCCACTAGAGCCCTCAGGTGCAACCACAAAACCTTGGTGGTTGGTTAAACAAGAGTCATGGTGAGAAACTACCTGTTTTGACTCTTTAGGCTCACCCTCTTCTAGACGGAAGGAATCCCCTAGGCTGAGCTTGAATACTTTGTTTTCCAGTGGCTCTTAATATTATTCATGTTCTTTGTCCAAATCCTCTTCCAGCATATCTGAGCCCTCAAAAGGTCCCCTAGTAGTGACCCATCTTCATCAAAACCGCCGTCTAATCCTTGTTTATCTAACTCTTGTGAAAACAGTTCCAAGAGTTCCTGTTTCTCACTTGCCTGCAAATCCTCTAAATCATTTCCTTATAGGGTTCTCTCCTCCCCTACGCCAATCCCTTTTGAATCTGAAGCCCCTCTGAAGCCGCAATACTGTTCGTTTTTAGATACGATACTGCAATTCTCTATCCCTCTTCGGTTAGAGCCCAAATCAAATTAACCCAAACCCATGCCTACGCTGCTGCCATCGTCTTCCACGTCAACTTCTGTATCACGAAGAACTGGAGTGTCTTTGAGTTGCAAGGGCTTTTGATTTCTTTACTAAATCTTATCTGCATGTCTTTTGATTAGACTACTTATTTGTTCATGCATATATCATTATGGTAAATCCTTTTCATATAATTCAAATTTTTATGCAAGAAAATTGTTTTTTTTTCTTTCTTATTTATTGAACATCAACATCACTAGTTATAGGTTCTGTCCCAGATTTCAGTTAATCCACTGTATCAAAGAATGTAACTGATCCCGAGTAGTACATATGATTTAGTTCTACTGTCATTGTACTAGTTCTGCTGTGAGATAGTTATATTTGCCATGCACTGCCAATTCTTAGTTGTAGATGCCATGGTTCTAACTATTATATTTTTATTTCTTATATGGCTACTTTGTATGGTTTAGCAAAATATTGGTTCCAAACGATTTGATGTGATTATATTTGGAAGGTTTTATTCATTCCTATGTTGTTTAAGTATTTTGTTTCTTTCCTCTCCTGATATATCTCTTTTTATTTTTTCCTCTCCTTTTTGCAGTTCTAGAGATACAATTGTGCTCACGTTGAGATTATTTATCCTAAGGGTATAACACTTTAATCTCTGGCCATAATCTCTCTTAGTTTGTATAACATGGAACTATGATCTTTGAAGGTTTTGTTTGGGCATCTAATTTTGTCTTACGTACTTTATAGGGACCAGACATAGAGCAAGTATTTACATATATGTTTATAGGAGAAAATCTAGTGTAAAACTAGAAAAGTGTAATATGTGGAGGACATGACATTTAACAGTAGCTTGTTAGATACCACTGGCCCTAAAAGCTTGAGCTGTTAAGGAGTGGACCAACAATGTATAATCAAGCATAGGAGGCACATTATCAAGAAAGATTGAGATACCAGAAAGGCTAAAGAAGAGGTAAATTAAAACTTAGAAGCGAAAACATGTAGCTGCACACAAGTAGTGATATTCCTGAAACTTAACTACTACGTTATCTTTCCTGACTCTCTTATCTCTTAGTATACTTTTATCTTTAATCAAATGAGTCCAGCTCATTTTCAAAATTTTGAGTCAATAGAACAAAATGCCGGTGAGCTTGAGGTGGATGTGGAGAAGTGCAACTCGAGTTTTGTTTGATAGAAGGATACCTTTAAAGTTAAATGGCTAAAATTGTATACGACTGTTATAGGCACCTCACCCAAACCTCCCACGGCCCCTTTTTATGTCATCCCACCCATGTACTCTATCCATCTTCGGCCCCCACCTCGCATCCTCCCAACCTCTGAGTAGCTCCTTTTCTTCTTCTCTTCTTCTATGTTCCCTTTCCTCCCAACATTAGCCCCACACCTCCTACTCTGTTCTCTGATGTAATTTTGATCTCCCAGCCTCTATACATATTCTCTTCTCTGTTGTTATGTGCTTTCCATTATGTGGAATGCTAATGCATTTCAGATTTGAGCTGTCCAGCTAATTTTGAGCCTCCATAACGTCTCAATGATTGCTCAAATGCCCATATAATATAATATAATATAATATTTTTATTTGTAATAATTCGAGTCCCAAAAGTCTTACGTGGCTCACCTTGGTAGACATAATAAAACACTTGGTGCCTACTCCTCGCCTTTGAAAACACTGGAAGCTAGTAAATTTAGAGGGAAAGCTTCTGCAAACACATCTAAGAATGTAGGAAGAGTGGTGTTTGACCCTACAAGTCTTGTGTAGATATAGATGAAAAGCTAATGTAGATAAGGGCATTATGTAGCAGAAGGAAAATTGCAGTGAGGCCAAAAGTGGACGGACTAGGATTTAGCATAATTGGAGTATATAGCGATAGAAACAAGCTTTTCAGAGACAATTTCAAATTCTTTGAGTCTTGATTAACTTATCAGTTGTGTGCCAGAAGAAGCCGATTTTTTTATTTTTAAAAATTGTGTATGTATTACTTAAGGCTTTAATGTACTACAAATATATGGTGATATCCCCTCTTCTTTGTCTTTGAACCAAAGTGAGAATTGCACATCCCTATTCATCTCATTTTTTCCTCGCACTGTTTTTTCAAGAATATAATTTGAATTGCTTCTGCCTTTTATTTTTCTTTCTGTTTGTTACACAAGATCACATAGACCTTGGAGACTCAAATTGAAGCATTTAGTGAGGGAGACGAGCACAATTATAATGCACTTAGCAGGTGGTGCTTCCTCTCCCTCCTTAATAGCTCACTAGACTTCCTGTTGTCTTGTTCACAATATTGTTTAGGCACTTTGATGTCTTCTTTTCTTTCCTCGGACTTGTCTTCTGGTCAGTCAACCAAGTTTGATACACACCTTCATTTTTCATGTCTTTGGGGACCCAAATCTCTCCATGTTTAGTGAACTTCTATTAACTGAAACAGAAAGAACCATGTGAAATGAAAGAAGAGGATTAACCTACTTGATACTAGCCTGATTCAAACTACAGAAGTAAACCCACACCCTTGTGGGGGCAAATAAATAGTTTTAACATACTTTTTATTCCCCCCAAAAAAATTTAAATAATTTAATCTTTGAATAAGTAAAATTGTAATCATATGGCCTTAGAAGGGTTTGAGATATTTGGTATTTAGTTTTTATTACAACACTTTCGGATTTCATTTTTAGCTAGAGAAAATAAGTGAAAATTAGTATCTTTCTTTTGTATTGAGTTATCTATAGAAATTGAAGGAAAATAAAAGGGAAAACAAAGTTAGTTTAGTGACTTGGTTCTTGTAATTTCGATTTAGCGTCACATATTATGCTTTTCTTAACTTGTTATATGAATCTGATGCAGGGCAGCGGCTATAAGCTGCTGTCCAGTGACCAAAACATACCCAAAATACAGAAAATGGAAGGATAAAGCAGTAGAATCAAAGTTGGAACGAAGATAATTGAGTTCTAGGGCAAAATCCCAAGATAATTGAAATTATATTCATCAACAAAAACTCAATACAAGAGTCTCTAAATAGTCTATTCATACTAGAATACAGCAGCCAAGCATTCTTATTCCTAGTTTAATAAGAAACCCTAATTGATGAAGGAAATTAAAACGAAAACAGGAAATTGAACTAAATCCTAGTAAGAATAGGAAAACAAATAATAAAATAACCTATTAATTTGATATAACTAAAACTTAGCTTTATTGGCTGATGAGCCTACTTAGATTAGGAAGTCTAATAGATGCTCCTGCATCAGAATCATATACGTGCCAATGTTTGGAATTCATTTAATTCATTGTACATATTTTTGTTGTTGAGCACATTAAATCTTCCTTGGCATCAGATTTCACCCATCTCTTGGTTCCTGCAGGCTGGTGAGAGAAGGAAAGGTAAAAAAAGGTTGTTTTTTTGAGTAGGACAATTATCTCCTGCTGTTGGGCTCCGCAAGAGCTTGTGTTCTTAAGGGTAAGGTTGTCCATTACATACTTGGGTGTTGGTATGTGCTGTTGAACTTCCTGCTATTCAGTATTTGTTAGAGCAGCAATGAGTTTTGTGTTGTAATTTGTTGTATGAAACGATCAATGTTGTTCTTTTTAGATTTATACTGCTTTTATTTTTTCTTTCTGTTTGACTCCACCATCTCTATCTTATACACACTGTCCAGAAACGTATAATTGTTTAGGGTTGGGATCTGGGGACAGCTTTTTACAAATAATTTTACTACTTTTTAGTTCCTAGATCCATTTACATCTAAAGGGTCCAAAGGAAAAGTTAAGATTTCTTCACTTGTTTTACTTGTTATTTTCTACACAATCAATAGGATGTCCATGAACACGTGGCAAAATCATGTATGACGTAAGTGGTTGAGTTGAGTCTTATCAGGTCAGGTTCATACGGGTTGACATGACAATAACATAAATATTGAGGGTGGAACTTTGTGAAATATGCTTTAGTTTTTTTTCTTTATTATGTACAGAGTTTGATGCATAATGCATGTGATTAGTTTTCCTAATGCTATTCGGATTAGTTATTATTAGTTTTCCTGTCATAAAGTAAAGAATATCGTCCTAAGATGTTTGAGATGTTCCTTATGAGAGCAGCTGTATATAAGTATGTCATCAAAATAAACTACCAGAAATTTATCAATGTAAGGCTGTAACCCATGAATCATCACCCTCATAAACGTGCTAAGTGCATTGGAGATTTCAAAGGGCATAACAAGCCATTCATATAAACCATCAGGGGTTTTAAATGCGGTTTTCCATTCATCTCCTTTACGAATGCGGATTTGATGGTAGCCACTGCAAAGATCTATCTTAGAAAACCATTGGGAACTAGTCAAATCATCCAACACAGTATTGGAAAACGTTGCTTAACTGTAATTTTATTTACGATGCGACTATCAACACATTTGTTAGGAGCCTTCCTTTTTGGGGGTAAGGAGAATCTGAACAGCATGAGGACTTAAATTATGACGAATAAAGCCCTTTATCCGGCAGCCCCTCAATTTGTCAATTCAACTTTGCTCACTTAGGCGGCTTCATACAATAGTGGGGAAGATTAGGAATTTGCGAACCAGGAACAAGGTCAATAGCATGCTGAATCTCTCTTGTAGGTGGTAGTTCATCCGGTATCAAGTATGACATCAAAGAATTCAGTGAGGAGTTGTTGTATGGGTTCGGCAAGTGGAGTGAGGGTGTCATCAGATGTCGGCTTAAGCAGGATTTCCTAATTCTATTTGGATTAGTTATTAATTTAGTTAAGGATTCCTTATTAGTTACTTTGCTTTCCTATTTCTCAAAGTTTACTTTTCCTTTTCCTAAAGTAAAAAGGGTGTGCCTCTATAAATAGAGTAGTTTGTAATCTTTTAAGGCAGACTTGATTAATGATAAATTTCCTTACTTTAAACTCTCTGATTCCTTCCCTTTCCCTTTGTCTCTTTGATCTTTAATTCTTCTCTTTAACCTCGTATATACTTCTTTGTTCTATTGTTTAAGTGCTTAATCTAATACCTATGGACTGTACTATATTAGAGTTAGGTAAATTTTTTGGCCATTTGTTATGTAATGTGTTTGACATAAGTTTTTATGGAATTATAAGATGTTTTCTTCATGGGAGAAGCATGATAAATTAACGGGTAAGATTTGGGTTTAAGATAATTTCACACGACATGACGTGAACATGTGGAAATACGATATATTAAAAAGTCTAAATGCATGGATGAATACTATTAACCATTTGAGCTATAAGTTTCTTTCCCTCTCTTTAAATTACTACATGATGAGGCAAATAAATTAAATAGAACAAAATTGCAATCAATTAAAATTCTTTAAGATAAGAAAAGAACTCTAACTTCCATCGAAAGAAATAAGGTTAACGATCGTTTTACCCCCTCAATTTTAATGCAATTATATTAAAATGGTCAATGTAACACTTATGGTTAGGTTTTTTTTTCAAACTTCATTAAATTTTCCATTCAAAATGTCACGTGAAAACAAGGATTGAAATATCGGCTGATACATCGATATATCGATATTTTGAATTGTTGACACCGATATTGGGGGGTAAGGCCATATCTTCCCCGATATCTACGATATATCCCTGATAAGTGCGATATCCTCGATATTTTGCCGATATTCCCGATATTTCCCGATACCCATAACAAAACCCAAAAAAATTCAAAAGTTTTGAAGCAAATTGAAATTGAAAAGATTTTTTGGAGGTATATGTGCAGTGATTAGATATGTGTGAAGACTTTTGGCAATATTCAATTCAAAAGATGTTTTGGAGTATGCATGTTTTGGAGTATGCATCAAAAGAATATATGAATAGTCAATTGAGGGGCTTCCCATTATTTTATCACTGGCTTGGCTTCCCATCTTTTGGTCTAACATGTATTGATCACAACCACTATATTTGTAAATTTGTAGATTATATGATACATAAAATATTAGTATAATAATAATTAATAATGTAAAGAATGTGAGTGACTGTTTTTTAAGCCATGAAAAGAAGAACTTGGAAGAAGAATTGATTCTTTACTTCGTGCTTGGAAGATTGTTTTGAGCTTTGGGGTTCTCTTTTTTGGCTTATTGTTCAGCCTTTAAACTGTTGAAAGCTTTTATCTAAGTTCGGCCCTTCAGGGAAATTAACTAGAAATGTTATATTCCACTCAAAGTCTGAGCTTCTTGTGGAACTTTTTATCATTTAATATTTATTTCATTTTTTGGCTATTTTTTTTTCACTTTTCGAAGTCAGACAATTGGCAATATGCAATTCACTGCCCACATACCTCCAAAAAATTTGACTACTTTTAGTTCCATCAAAGTCAGACAATCATCCAACTGGAATCCAGAAAATAAAGTCTGCAAAGCCCATATACCATTGTCCCCCAACCCCCCAAAACTTCCCATTGTTATCACAAGAGAAGCCCTCTTTAAATCATAGGCTATTTTGCTTTTTTTGGGGCACCAAATCTTCCCTTCTCTTCTCTTTCTTTCTCTGCGAGCTTTTCAATTTTTATTTAGTCTGTGAGCTTCTTTCCTTGTTTGCAAGTTCTCTTTGACTGCTATTTCAGGTATGTGGCTCTCTCTCATGGTCTATATTATTTTTGTGATATATTTGATATTGTAAGTTAATTTAATATATTTTAAGTGTGATAGATTAAAAATGGCAAGTAGTAGTGGACCGAGTGGAGCTAGTGTGCCTAGTGGTCTTGATGTGGCATGGAAATATGCTCGTCCAATAGAAGGCAATAAGCATGGCACCATATGCACATTTTGTGAATCCACATTTAAAAGTGGTGGAATTACACGGTTAAAGTATCATTTGGCCGAATTTGATCCACATAAGAGTGTAAAGAAGTGCAAAGAAGTACCACCAGATATTAAGAAGGTAATTGCATGGATAAAGGAGAAAGAGTCTAGCAAACAACATAAGAAATCTGTTGAAGAAAACATAAGATCTACAACAAGAGGGGGATACATGGACAATAAAAGTAGCAATCCTATTGATGATGATGATGGATATGCATATCCTCCAGACATGCACCCTGCGGAGAAAGAAGATTACGTTTCTGTCATTAGAGCGTCGAAGCAAGAAGAACAGTTTAGACAAGGAGGATTTTATGGAATGGGAAGCAAACGATTTTCAGGGGGAGCAAGTGGTAGTAGTCAACCGCAATACCGTCGCACTCAAAGCCTTCGAGACCCACTTCCATCTCCTCCAGTACTAATGCCACACAAGAACACTAGAGTAAAACAGAGAACAATCAAAGACATGATTAGAAACTCAGCAGAGGTACTTGGAAGATACTGCAGCAAATTCTTCGTACTTGAGAATGTGGCTCCTCAAAAAGCAAGTTCCCCTCATTTCAAGAACATGATTGTTGTAGCCCAACAAGCAGGTTTTGCTTTATTCCTTATAACTTTCCTTTCTTGAATTTAAATATTCTAAACACACCAATTACTAATATGAGTTTATATTAGGTCAAGGCGTAGCCATACCATCACCATATGAAATAAAGCATAAGTACTTAGATATGGAACACACAGACATGCAAGCCTATGTGGAAAAGGTAAACGAAGATTGGGGCGTGTATGGATACACCATCATGAGTGATGGATGGACTAGCCCCACGAGGTTGTCTATAATAAATTTCATGGTCTACTCAAACGGGAAAACAATTTTTTTGAAATCAGTGGATGCTTCAAATAAAACCAAGGATGCAAAGTACATTGCCAAATTGTTGAAGGATGTCCTAAAAGAGGTTGGGCCGTCGAATGTTGTTCATATTGTCATTGACAATGGTTCAGCCTTTGTTAAGGCTGGAGAGATGATGATGGAATGGTACCCTATTTATTGGACTCCTTGTGCTGCACATTGCATTGATCTAATATTTGAAGATATTGGGAAGCAAGAGTCGGTGGCTAATGTCATAAATAAGGCTAGGAAATTAACCAACTACATTTACAATTATGGTTGGCTATTGGCTCAGATGAGGATCTTTTGTCAAGGAGATTTGGTCCGACCCGGTGCAACTCGATTTGCGACAAACTACATCACCATCAATAGCATCTTAAATAAGACAACTGGGTTGAGGCAACTTTTCACAAGTGAGGAATGGTATAATAGTCGATTTAGTGAATCAGAAGAAGGGAAGAGAATTGAAAGTCGAGTCCTTAATCATAGATTCTGGGATGCCATGGAAGGAGTGCAATCCATCTATGAGCCTTTATATAGCATCTTGCGAATTGTTGACACAGAGGTAGTTCCTACCATGCCTATCTTATATGATATATTTCAGATAATGAAAGAGAAGATTTCTAAGTTGAAGGGCAAAAAATGGCTTCTCAAAATCATCAATTACAGATGGGATGTCACATTATCTCGTCCATTACATCAAGTTGGTATGTTTTAATCTTTTAGTAAAAATGTGCATAAATTTTTAAATTTATAAACGAGTATTAACTAATCTTCATATTTGTAGCCCACTACTTGAACCCTAGATATCAATATGAAATAGGGGTTGTCCACAATAAAGAGTTACTTTTAGGACTCCAACGCGTATTTGAAAGGTTGAACCCAACTGGGGATAGAGGTTTGCAAGCATTTGGGGCCGAGGTAAGTGAACACAAAACAATGTATTCCTCATTAAATTTAGTTTTATGCACCATGAACACAAAACATTGTGAATCCAGGTGATAAATTTTAGAGACTGTAGAAAGACATTTCGCACTGAGATGGCCGTCAAATCAAGAAAATTGATCCCCCCAGCAGAATGGTGGAATCTTCATGGTGACTCTGCCTTGAACTTGCAAAAAATTGCTATGCGTATATTGTCACAGACAGCATCATCATCGGCATGTGAGCGAAATTGGAGTACATTTGCTCTTATTCACACGAAACAAAGGAACCGTCTCGCATATATTAGGCTGGAAAAGATTGTCTTTTGCTATTATAATATGAAACTTAAGCTAAGTGATGAAGAGGCTGAAATGAACAAGGTTACAGAAATGACTACATAGACCTTCTTGACATTGCAGGGCAACCATCTAATGATGATAATAATCCAATTCAACAATGGATTATAACAGCTCACTTGGATGATGAACAAGGCAACCTTGATGCCGTTATAGCACAACATGCTGCCCAAGAAGGAGTTGATGTTGATAGAGTCATATCCGAAGATGTTGGGAGTGGAGATACTTCATCATTTGAAAGGGATATGCTTGGACCTAGGCAAGGTCAAAGACGTCCCTTCAGAGACAATGCCAGTGCTAGTAGAATGGAAAGTTCATCCAATTCTTTAGATAATGATGGAGGAAGTAATGCTGGATCAGGAGGTAATGAAGAAAGAAGACAATACAACCCATTTACTGTTGAGGCTGATTTTACTCATGCCACCCAAGATGAGGATCATGGATGCAGAGACGCTGGACCAGGCATTGGCACAATTGGGAAGCAATACTCAAAGAAAGTAAGCCAACCAATCAATCCATCTGAAGAGGACACGGCGATCAGTTTTGGATCTATGAGCATAGGAACTAGATCTAGTACTAACTCAAATGAATCTTATGATGGCTATGGTTATGTTATGTCTGATTATAGTGGAACTAGATATGAAGCTCAAGATGATGAAACAAATTATGGACCTACTAGTTGGGTTAATCCTAACTATCCCATATATGGGAGGACAGTAGGGAGCTCAAGAGAGACATATGTGCACCATGTTCAAACATGGCTTACAAACTACTCGGGTACATGACTTGGTATGATTATTGTATGAATCTAGATGGTTGTTCCACATTGTTTGAACCTCATAGGAGCTCTTCATTTATGTAGTTGGACACTCATCTAAATTGTAATCCAATGTTTAAATAAACTATGGATTTATGCATGGTTTATTCATTCTAATCAAATTTTTATTTTCAAAATTTTCATTAACGCGCATTACATACCACTTATATTTCATCATATATATTTATTATTATTAGTAAATTTTGAGTTTTATTTGTTCAATACATTTATTGACAATGTACATAACATCTATAAAAGTTTTACCCCAAAATTATGTGTTTCAATGCCTATATTTGTCATTTTTGTTGATTTTTTCCCGATACCTAAAATGATAACGATATATCCCTCAAAATATCCGTAAATTGGAGGCCCGATATTATTTGCACCCGAAAATAACCGATATTTTAATCCTTGCGTGAAAAAAAAACATGTAACAGTTGAAGGAAGTTGAGGTTCCACCTGAAAATGAATTGGCAATGGGGGGAGTAACCCAACTTCTTATAAACCCAGGTTAGATCCCTTAACTTTTTTCGACTCAATTTAGCTTAGTTCACTAGTTCAAATGCCCACCCCTAATCTCAGCGCTTGTCAATTGCTTCACTCGGATGGTTGACATGGTAGGTGTGGGTTTGTTAGTGTGAAGATCGTCATTATGTTGAGACAAGTTTCGTGCCTCATATGGGTGGGCATTTGAGCCGATGAATTGGTGGTGAACCTAGTCCAAAAAAAGGGGGGAAAACTATGTTGTACAAAAACTGAACCAGGTCACTTTGGATCGATTCCCATTTTGGTTTTTGTCTTGAAAAATCCAATATAAATCGAACCGAACCAGACCTATTATGTTAAGTTTACTTATTCGTTTATATCTAAAATTATTAATAAGCCTAATTAATATTCAAACAACATTAGTAACTCAAAGTAAGATTTATATATTTTAGCCCAATTAATACCCAAAAATGTCTTAGTTCCAATTTATACTCAACTAAATAAATAGGGAGATTTTATTGGCACCCCATTATTTGCTGTTTACACCCCATACTAATTTTAAACATGAATAACATATTTTACCCTTGTACACAATTACCGTTAAGGACAAAAAAAATTAAAATTGTTCACTACACCCCACATATGTTCCTGCAACCCTAGTTTGACTTTTTTTTTCTTCTCAAACTATCATGTTCTTAAACCCTAAACCCTAGATTTATACATTTATATTGGTGAAAAAATATCTTGTATTTATTCATGAAGGGTGAGATTGAAGTTAGAGAGGCTTCGAATGAGGTACGAGTTTATTTTTTGGTGTTTTGCAAGTTTAGTATTTCATAATGGTCTCTGGTTGCGTTAAGCACATCAATACCGAACGCGACAGGTAAATTCGGTGGGATTCCACCGAAACGTTGCACCTTTTTCAGTTGGGTTTGACTGGTCATGAACTTAATATTCGGTGGAGATCCACCATAACATGGAACATAGTTCAGTGGTTCACTACCGAACTTTTACCTGCGTTTCAGTGGCATCCAATCGAAATTTATTTATTTTTTCAGTAACATATTGCCGACCACAAATTTAATGCAAGCTATTTTGATCTTACTCCCATTGAAGGAACAAAAACAAGGTGACGCCCCTACTGAAGGCAACAACGTGGGAACAAAATGTGTAATGGACTATAGTGATCAATTCACAACTTATTCGGTAATTATTTGTTTGAAATCCTTTTGTCTGCAAGAAGTTATTTGGGACCCTCAAACAATGGAATCAATTTAATGAGGATTGGAATACTTTGGTTGGTTTAGAAACGAATGAGGAATATTGGCGTTGTTTGCGACAGATTGAGTCTAAGTTTAGTGAATTTCAAAAGCTCTTGAATGCATACATGACAATTGGTTAAATCCATTTAAGGATAGGTTTGTGATTACTCTTTTTAATATCATGACTCGTCTTAAGTCACCTTGGTGTACGCAATGCAACTGTTTCCCCTAATGCCACGAGCCGCCCAGTAAAGGACAACATACGCTCGTCACGTTCTTGTAACGAATTTGAATTCAATGCCTTAGTAAAAAGTACAAAATTGAAAAAGTGGAAGTCATACAAAATTAAAAAATTTACCTGATAATATCTGCTTTGCATTGAGGCAAATGGGTCAAATGCAGCTCCATAATTAGGATTTTGGACAAACAGATATCCCACGTTGAGGTACCACTCCAAGTACCCAGGCACAGTCCTCAAAGTGATCTTGGGGAGCCGCTCTCTCTCTCTCTCTCTCTCTCTCTCTCTCTCTCTCTCTCTCTCTCTCCTCGTTGAGGCCATGGGACGATGTCTATTTGGTCGAGATGATGAAGCCTCAGTAGTACCTCTGCGAGTCCTCTTCATATCTAAAAACAAACAATATTAGGTACACTCTTAGTAACGTATTCGGTAAATGATCACTGAAAAACGAAAACAAATTCGGTGGACTATCACTGAAAAAAGAACACATATTCGGCGAAGTACCACTGAAAAACCGAAATACATTTGGTGGGAATCTCCTGAAAATTACAAACAAATTCGGTGGACTACCACTAAAACAAGGTAACCATTTCGGTGGAATCCCACCGAAAGTAAAATGTACAGATTAGGTTCAAATTCGGTGGACTGCCATTGAAGCAATGTAGCCATTTCGGTGGTAATCCACCGAAACTAAAATCTAGTTTCGTAAAACCAGGTTTGAACCATACACCCACCACGTTGAAATCAAAAATTAAAATCAAACTTCGGCTTTCCAAAAGTGAAATCAAACGTAGGCTTAATCAACACTTAGAAACGTAAATATGGAAATCAAAATTGAAATCAAACCTTGGCTCTTCGAAGGATTTGTGAAAATTTGACAAATTCGTGATGGATGCTTGAGAGGGCTTAGGAGGTGGTGGTTTGCGACAGGGTGAGGCGTTTGGGGTTGGCTGTGGGGTGTGATGGCTTTGTTTCAGAGATGGGTTCGGGTTTGCAGAGATGGGTTGTGTGATGGGGTTTGGTGGTTTGTAGAGATGGATTGTGAGACGACTCTGTTTCAAAGGGGATGGGGTTTGTGGTGGAGCTTGTTGTAAATTTGATGGGGTGTGTTTGCAAGAGGAGGGAATTTTCGATGGGGTGAGGCTTGATATCAGATGGGGTGGGTTCGATTTCAAATAGGGTGTGTCTGAAAGGGAAGGGGGTTTTCGATGGGTGGTGTATGATATGGGATGGGGTTTACATAGTGAGTTAGGGAATGGGGTTCATTAGGGCAATTTAGGGAAGAACAAAAAAGGGGTATAATGAGTAATTTGAAATTTTATTAAAATTTAGTGGGGTGTAAAAATTAGGGAGCTTTCATTTTAAGACACTATGTAGTTTAGTAATTTGGAAAATAGATATACAATTTACCTAATTAACATGAGGCCAAAGACAAAAAACTAACACCTATTTTTACCAAAATCATATCAAAGAACATTAAAATTACAGGATATGTCATTTATTATTATTATCAAATTTTGGTATTTAATTTTAAACCAAACCAACAGCTGTTGGTCGCCCGAAGAGTTGAGACTGAGCCCAAAATCTCGACCACCAACGGAGACAACCATCAACGATAATCAACGGCGACAACCACCAACGAAGAACACACCAACGATCGAACCCAATTCTTCATTCTCTCTTTCAGCAGTTCCAACCTATTCCCCAAAATCTGAAACGGCGACCAGCAACGAGCGACGACCAGAAACGACGACGATTGAAGGGTTTAGCACTCTCTTGGGAAAAAAATTGTAAGAAAATGACCCCTAACACAAATTTGCCTTCGATTTTAGGGTTCTAAAATTTTACTTACTGTTCATTCTTCATTCTGCAATGTAGTTTAGGTTTTGGGTTTAGTTTTGGTTTGAAAACCTCTAAAAACCAAAAAATCACAAAAGAAAGAAAAAGAGCATCAAATCTGTTTTCTGCATTGAAGAAAACATAAACTGCATTGTAGTTTCTGCTCAATTATTTATACTTCTTTCCATTTCACATCAAGTTGTTCTGTAGTTTCTGTTATGTTTTGTAGTTCTTGTTTTGACCATGCTGATCTTTCAATTTCATGTCAAGTTGATGTATATTTTCTGTTATATTTTGTGTTTTGGATTGCTCCTATTATATTTTTATTATGTTTGATGTTTTGCCTTTTGGGTTGCTCCTTTTAAAAGAGGAAGAGCATCAAATAATTATGTTTTTTGCATTGCAGTGAAAGACAAACTGCATTGCAATGAACCACAAACTACATTGCAGTTTCTGTTTGGTTGTAGTTTATCTCTACTTGTCCTAATAGTATTTTCATCCTTTCTTATTGCAGATCACAAATGGCACAAGAAATGTCACCACAAAAGAAGGAAGCTCAAAACCAACCAAAGCGAAGAATCAAAATGATGGCTCAAAAGAGTAAACCAAAGCCAAAGCCAAACTATGATCGGAAAGCAAAGCACCCAAACTATGTCCAGTTTCGGTGCAATGTCAATGCTTTCAACAGCATCATTACAGACGTAAAAGACAAGCTCAACGAAAGGGAGAAGAAGCTTCTCAAGAAAACCCCCTTCTGGAACTTGATTGAGTTGTTTTACCACCAGAGAATTGACATGAATAACATGAATAAGTCAGACCTTGACATAGTACAATTGCTCAAGAAATTTGATCCGGATACAAAGTCCTTCAAATTTGGCACCAAATCATTCAAGATCACATGCAATGCAGTGACTCAGATTCTAGGACTGCAAAATGAAGGAAAATCTGTCAAACTTGTCAATGATAGGTACACTGCTACCTTCAGAATAAGGCACTTTGGAGAAAAGGGAAAACCATCAAAAAACCAGGTAGAAGCAGAATTACTAAAGACAATTTCCTTGGCAAACCAACCGAAGAAAGAAAAGGCCAAGGCAGAGCAAAAGAAGAAAACGAACAAAGGAAAAGAAAAGAAAGAAGCTGAAGAAGAAGAAGAAGAAGTTGACTATGACAAGGAGGTGGTCAGCCTAATATTGATTCACCTCTGCATGGCATTCCTTTTTGCCAACGCTTTATCTACTTTGCATTGGAAATTATTTGAGCACTGTGTGAATCTAGACACACTTTCAAGCTATTATTGGGCAAGAGCTGTTTCAGCCTACGTGAATGAATCCTTGGTCGCAAAAGCAAAAGCAAAAGCAAAGAAGGGAGGAGAAGCCTCTATAGGAGCTATTTCGGGTTGCATTATCCTAATATTGGTAAGTAAACAGTGGCTTATGCAATGCATTTTGAGTTTTAGGCAATGCATTTTCCCTTTAGTGCAATGCAGTTTCTGTTTTATCCTAAGCAGTTTCCAACCTAATTTATGATATAACTTGTTTTTGAACTGTGTAGTTTCTACTGTGTGAGAGGACAAACATAATACAACCAATCCTGGGCATGGAGAAAGAAACTCCTGCCATTCTTAAATGGAGTCTTGTGGAACTCCACACAATATTCAACCAAATAATGGACTTGAATGACATCGAGGTATGCAATTTATAGCATGTTCTACTTTAATGTATCTTGAATGTGAATCCATGCTAAATCATTCTCATTGTACATGGTATTTTCAAAACTCCTAAAAAGTGAAAAACTACTAGGGAAGAGGAAGACACCGTTGACAAGGTATTAAAATCTGTATACAGTGCATTGCAGTTTGTGTTTTCTACATTGCAGTTTGCATTTTATCCAATGCACTTTTTGAATAATTCAATCTCATTGTACAGGGTATTTTGAAAGCATATAAAAAGAGAAAAACTACCAGAGAAGAGGGAGACCCTCTTGACAAGGTATAAGAATCTCTAAACAGAGAATTATGCGTTGCGGTTTCCGTTTCCTCCAATGCAATGCAGTTTCTAATTAGTTTCCGTTCAATATGCAGAAAAACGAAAAAGAAGATGATGAAGGACAACAAAGAGAAGCAGAGGAAGCAGAAGACCAAGGAAAACTTGATGATGCTGATCAAACTCCAGAATTAAAAGAGGCTGGAAAGAAGAAAATGTTTGAGAATGAAGCTGGAAATGAACCTCTTGCAATTCAAGACCTCTTGGTGAAGTCCATGACAGACCAAATCAACTACTGCCAACGTCGAGATCCTAGCTTTGTTTTGCCCAGAAAGATTACAACTGTGGAAGGATGAAATAAATGAAGACAGTGAGAAGAAAATGAAGGAATTGTGGGATATATTTATCCAAGGAGAAAAGAGATCAAAGGAGGTGGAAGCGGAGTTGGCAACATACGTAGAGAAATTAGATAATGAAGAATATGTGACTGCCACCATGACAGTGGAATCTACAGTTCAACTTCAGGAAATACAAAATCTGAAAAGGAGGATTGCAGAATTGGAAGGCAAGGAAACTCGTATTGACATGGAGAAGATTGCCAAGAAAAAGGAGATTGAAAAAAAGTACAAGGTAGAAATTCAAAGCTTGTTGTCAGACCCAACAATCTTTGAAATGGAGATGGATCTGCCTACAACACAACCAACACAAAGCAAGAAGAAGAAGAAGAGAAAAAAGAAGACAAGAAAGAAGAAGAGAAGCAAAAAGAAGAGAAGAAGCAAGATGCTCCAACACCTGATGTTCCTTCAAGAGTACTAAGGCTGAAGAATAGAGAAAGAAAGAGGCTTCAAGCATCTTGCTATGTGTACGAAAAAAATAAGAAACCAAAAAAGAAGGCAAAAAAGGATGATGAAGAACTACCACAATTCAAGCTTATCTCTTCCGAGGAGCAGTCAACACAAGAGGATTCTCAAAATTAGAAGGTGGTATGCAATACTGTAGTTCAAGCCGCTGTTTTTTCTGTTTTCTGCATTGCAGAAATAGAAACTGCAATGCAGTGTGTTATCTGCATTACAGAAACGGAAACTGCATTGCAGTTTCTATTTTATCAAATGGAGTTAACACAAGAGGCATCTCAGCCCAATGCCACAAATCCAATTCTTGATCCCCCAAAAGGAATGAGCCTTCATGATTCAATACCTATAGGTATGCAAGAATCAAATGATGAAGATGAAGGACAAAAACAGCCAACAAAGAAAATACTAGGATGGGGTCAAAAGAAGGTTTGGCAGAAAATTCCAAAGGAAGACAGGGACAGAATTCAAGAATACTACTTAAGTACTCAACCTCGGTAATATCTCTATTCCAAAAGAACAACTCTTTCATCTTTTAATTACAATTAAACTAAAACTAATCTTGTGAATTTCATGTATTCGAATCCGCAGTGATAACTTTTGGGTAGGACTCCATAATGAGAAAGTGACAAACCATGATATCAAAGATATTGTATGGGACCTGGAACTGTCACAAACGGTAAGTATAAAATGCTAATTCTATAACACACACTGCACTGCATTTTTTATTTGTGCTACCTATATTACCCATTAATAATTCCATTTTTCTCCAATCAATGTGAAACAGGTTATTTAGGCCTATATCCAAATAGAAGAGGAGAAAATAAGGCCCATGCAGATAGATAGTCCACAGTACATGTCTACATGGACTTGGGTAAGAATTATTTTGAAAATTCAAAATTGTTTAAACAGACACGGCACTGCAGTTTTCGAAAAATATATACTAACAAATTCCCATTCAATGATAGCAGGCTTACATGCAAACCTTTCTAAATGCAATGTTCTCTTCTTCCTGATCATTTCAAGTTCTAAGTTCCACTTTACACTTCTCACATTTCACAAAATTGAACGAAAGTGGAGACACTACAATCCACTTAGATCGTTGGGACCTAGAAAAGAAGAAAAGTGTATTGACATTGCTCAAAATTTTGTAAGTGGAATGAAACTGTCTTAATTTCTCAGCACAAACACAAACAGAAACTGTAATGCAGTTTCTGTATTATACATACTGCTTAATTTCAGACCAAAACTATAATATGCAATGCACTGATTACCATTTCTTTTTCTCTTTTTTTCTTCTTCTTTAAACAAGTTAATATTGTGGAAGGGTGGCTAGAATATATCAGACCACAAGCATAAGAGTTCTTAGAAACTAAAAAAATACCAAAACTTGTGAAGCAAAAAGAAGGGCCACCTACACATCCATAGGTTGATTTGTCCCCAAATGAAGAACTCACTCTAAATTGGATTCTGCAAAATCCATATCAGTTTCCATTTGAGGATGACACAGAATGTGCTCAACAAAATTCATCTTCGTAAGAATTGTGTCTACTCAATCATTCATTACAATTTGAAATCATTCAAAACCAAAAGCTAATCTCGTATTCATTTGTAGGTTGGATTGAGGCATGTTCGTCATGTTCTACATGGATAAAATAGCACAAGGACAACCCATTCCAAAAAGTGTGGACAAGAATTTCATGAATGAATATCGAGCACAATATGTCACAAAACTCCTACACCACAAACACTGTGTAATTAATCGTCTCTAGTGATTTGCCTTTCGTTAACTCAAGACAATATGTATCTTAATTCTTGTGGATGTTTGTAAATATTTCTAGTTATGGTATATGAGAACATATTTCCTATACATATAAACTGTAATATAATCTTGGAACAGGATGCAACAAAACGAAAGGGAAACAACAAACTGCACTGAATTTTCTGGTCAAATACTGCAACAAATTAAAACTGCACTGTAGTTTATATAAATAAATAAAAATCTGCTCAAAAAATGTGAAAAGAACCCAAGAGCCAAAGCCATAATCAAAGTACTTTGTTCAAAACACATTTAACTAGGTCAGCAGTTGTAACATTCCAATATACTTGCAAAAATTATTCTGAAATTGAATTATCGAACAAGAAACTGCACTGCAGTTTCTGGTCAAAATCTGCACTGCTGCTCAAAAGGTAAAGGCATAATCAAAGTACTAAAACTAATATCAAAACACATTTAACTCCATGAGCAGTTATAACATTCCCATAGACTAGCAAAAAGTATTCTGAAATTGAATTATGGGACAAGAAACTGCACTGCAGTTTCTGGTGAAAATCTGCAACAAATAAACAAAAATTGTAGTGTAGTTTCTGCAACAAAATTTGCTCAAATATGAAAACAAGCATTCAATGGCAGTCAAAAACGAATAACCACTCATGAAACAATTGTATAATTTTCATTAACTTCAAAAAAGAATCATAATATCCAATTAGAAGCTGTGTAGCCAATTAAAAGCAACTAAAACTGCAATGCAGGTTTTGCAAAAAGTGCAATGCAGAAACTGACTATACATTCACTAAACCATATCTAACGTAAGCAATCGTCAACTGAGAAGGAATGTTCATATCACAGCCTTGCAAGTCTTCCTATTATGCCCAATAACACTACACCGACTGCATTTCAATGGCCTTTTAAATTCAGCAAAAGCTTTGATCCTCTTTGTTGGTGGTCTTTCGGCTGGCCTCTTTGTAATTGGCGGAAGCACAACTCCAACTGCAAAACTGTTGCTGCCTAAGCCTTTCCCAATATATGGAATAGGAAAAATAGGACTCTCATAGGCTTTTCGAAAGAAGTAAGTCCTGTAGTAACACTCCACGTAATCATAAACTGAATCTTTCTTTGCTAGAATTGCAGCCACCGCATGCGTGCAAGGAAAACCGTCAATTTGCCAAAGATGGCAAGAACAAGTCCTTTGCTCAAGATCAACCATCACAAAATAATCAGCAAATACTTCAAAAACAGTGAAACTAGAATGACGAACTACCCGAGTCCTACCGGCCTCCGCATTTTCCCACAGTCTAGTTTCCATCTCCGGACACAAAATTGTTGTCCACTTCTCCGCTTCAATTCGTCGTTGAGAATTCAATACCATCAATTTCTGTCGAATCCCTTCTATCAAAGGTAGTACCGGCAAATCTGGAAACACACCAACCCAATTATTAAATGACTCCGCTAAACTGTTTGCCATCTCCCCATACCGCATTCCTTTGAAATATGCATTGGCATAGTCATCTCTAGACAAATCAGATATAAATGTCTTCACTTTCGAACTCCCAACAATCACCAACTCCTCCATTGCTACCGTAAACTCTTCCTCCGTAACAGCATATGCGCATTTACTAAATAAATTGATAACACGGTCTTGGAGCAATTTCCCATAACCTGACTTCGGGTACTTCGATATCAAATTCTGTTTGAGGTGATAGTAACAGTAAGAATGAGGCCATCCAGGAAACACAAACCCCATTGCATTTAACAAACCTTGATTGCAATCCGAGAAAAAGGTCACCACTCTCCCCATCGGTAGCAAAATAGAAGCCAAATGTTGAAGAAACCAAGTCCAATTCTCCTCTGTCTCAGAATCAACAACTCCAAAAGCTAGAGGATAAAACCCTGCAAAACAAAACCGAAAGCACAAGTATAAGCAAAAAAGGGAAATTGCAGTGCAGTTTTTGAAAACAAATCTGCTCAAATTTGAAAGGAAACCAAAAGGCAAATCCATGATCCAAGTACTAAAACTAAGTTTAAAACATATTTAAGTTCATGAGCAGTTGCAACATTCCCACAGACATACAAAAATTATTAAGAAAATCGAATTATGAATAAATGAAATTTGCAATACATTACAGTAAAAAGGACCATGACAAGTTTTAAAGATGCTTTTGGATAAAAATACAAAGGGGTCATAAAAGGACCATGACAAGTTTTAAAGATGCTTTTGGATGACGGTTTTGAAGTTAACCCATAATTCGGCCCTTGCACTCATCAAGGTCTTATAGTCATCTTCCTTCTCTTGGAAATTGGCCTGTTGTTGCATAAACTTTTCTAGTTCAAACTGATGTGGCCGAGAGTCTTGAACCGCACTGTCAATCTTGGCAAGGATGGTTGATTTTCTGGCCTCAATCTCTTTCTGCTCCTTCTCTAGTTTGCACAGTTCTTCTTTTCCCTAGTGGCAAATATGAAGGTGGACTGGTAAAATATGGTTAGTTGATTGAATCTTTTTAGTCAAGGCTTGGCATGTACTCCATCACGGCTTGGTTGTAGGCATGGATGCTCTCAGCCAATTGCTTTATGAAACCTTTGATTGTGGATTCAACCTCAGTTGGGAAAAAAGGAGCATCAAGAAGACTTTGAATGGACGAGCAAAGACGAGCATGTTGAGCTTCATTGGCTAAATCGGCATAGTCTTTGTCAAGGATGGTTTGGATGATGGCTTTGGCTGCAATATTTAAGGTGGAATTATATGAAGAAGTGGTGGCGGCCTTTGCTACAGCCAAGTAATCTTTCATGCCTTAAAGTGACTCCAATATAGCCTCTAAGGGGAGTGCTTCCTGCCAAAGGTGCATAATGTGAGCAACATGGTGGCAGTCAAGCATTCGCTTAATATATATATATATATATATATATATATGTATATATCTTTTTTTAAACAAGTACCTTTTTAGGATGCAGAACACTTGTTTCATGTGTTGCAAGTGCAGTAGTGTCTTGAATAGGTTGAGCAAATTCAACTTCGATTGGAGTCTTTGATGAAGCCATAGTTTTTGAAGTCCCAACATTAATTTTCTACGGAAAAATCAAGGGTGAGCATCCATAAGGGACAAGGGAGGAGGTTTGATTAAGAAAAATGTCTACCTGCGTTGTATCCTTAACTATTTCAACCATATTGAAAGGGGAGACATGTTTGTCTTGATTGTCATCACCTAAGACTGCAGCAACGGCCTCATTAAATTGGTCTTCAGTCTCAAAGCCTATGAATTCTTGAGAATGGCCGGTTTAGGAAAGGTTAGGTAGATCCTTTAAATAAAAAAAAGTTAGCCTATGCAAGAATATTATAAAAATGGTAACATAAATTATTTAGTTGAGAGTACCTCAATGACGGGATCTCTCTTGGGCCGTTTTATTGGAGCTTTCTTGAGCCGTAAATCGTTTGCTATTTCATCATCATTTTCATCACTACTTGACTCATACATCATGCTAGTTTTTCGACTAGCTACAAGTCAAGTAAAGTTATGATGTTATTGCATAGCCAAAGAAAAGAAGTTAAGGGAGAAGCAACAGTGACATAGTACGAATGACAAGAGATTTAGGCTTCGCCGTAGCAGCAGCCTGACCATGACCTAATGAATCCCCTTATTTAAAGCCAAATAATCAAATAATTACAAAGCTTGAGAATAAAATGCTTTGAGGGAAGTGAGGACGTTACCAGTGATGGTTGAATGGTTTCGCTTGATGAGCAATATTTTCTTTGGTAATGCTGGTGAAGCGAAACTAATCTCTTTGGCCTCGTTACCTGCAATAAAATTTTTTGAGAATCATTATAATTATGTGAGTAGTTGAAATCAATCTTGCAGCCATGAATAGCTCATACATGTTTCGCTCATTGAGTTGTAGGTTGTAGCATCCTTAATTTTCAACGGCCATTTCTGAAAAAGCTTGGCAAAAATAATGTCAGCAACCGATGTAAACCAATCACGGGTGACGTGTTTCCACCAAGTATCAAAGTGGGTCGTAGAATTAAAGTTGGCATCCCGAATATGCATGTTAAAGGTTGTTCACATTCGCTTGCGATCTGTGGAAACTACATTACATTCGGCATTTGTTTTGAACTTAGCTATTTGGGATGTGCCCATATTGCAAGATTCTGTGATCGGAAGTGGGATAGCTTGAGTGAAACCCAATTGAAGACTAGTCGCAGAAGGAAAATAAACCTCAACCCCGCATGGGTAGTTGGCTTCTACAAAAGGCATCTCGGTCGTTATCGGCTGGGGAAGGAGAACTTAGTTTCAGCCCAAGATAAGAAGGAAATTCTTGATCTAGACAAACAGAAAATTTGTCTGGGGAGTGGCCTTCACAACTGTATAAAATTTCAAAGTAATCTTCAACTTTGAGGCCGAAAAGGAGAAGAGACAAAAGATTTACTTCAATAAGAGAATTATGAGAAAATAGATCATGAGCTAGCTGTAACACCCCGACTCCAAATTTATTCCTATTTTAATTAAATTAAGAGAATTATTAATTTACTCTTGGGTTAAGGGTAATTTTGGTCATTTTCTTATCCGGAAGGATTTCGGGACCACGAGTGGTTTGGTTGCGTAGGTGGTACTGAGACGAAACCGTAGACAGGCGGTAGGCTTGAATCGGAGTTGTAATGAAGTTTTGGCGATCAAAATAAGTTGGGTGGCGGAACCGTAATTAATTTGAAAAGAGTTTGGGGTAAAATCAGATTTTTCACATTTACCCCTCACTTTCTCTCTCTCTCTCCCGTGTCTCCTCCCTCTGCGTCAAACCCATTCCCGTCACTGTGCAAGCCGAACGGAAACCACCGTGCCGCCGCCGCCACAGTCCACCTCAGCCCTCGAGACCAGTCCCGTTTGACTCGTCGTGAAGTCCCGATCAAGACCCACCCAATTTCCTTGCCGGAAAGCCAGAGAATCGTCGACGGTATCGACTGGTTCAAACCGGAAGTTTCCGATCGTTGCACCGCCGCCTCCGCCTTCTGTTTCAGGTAAAGTTGGTGAGTTTTCTTCTCCTTTTTACGTATTCTAGCTGACCGTTGTTTAGGTTTTGATCGATTTTGAGGTTTGGAACCGAATTGGAAACCTAGGTTTTGGCCGGTTTTCAATTGGAAATTCCGGCCAGTTCCCGTGCGAATTGGACCTCGTGGTAGTTGAATAAAGTGATCCTGACCTTGAGAAGAAGCTAGGGTAGGAAGGGTGAGCGTTGGTGTGGAGATTTTCCGTCGCCGGAAATTTCTCTACACACCCACGCGCTGCCGGCGCGTGTGGCGGCGCGTGGGCAAGGCTGGTGAAGTTGCTTTTCATCCTGATGAGATCCTTAGGTTGCCACGAGTGCATAGGATTTTACGAATCTCAATTTGGATGTCGTTTGACTATCGAACGGATTTCGCATATTGTGCGTTATTCGGGTTCGATAAGTTCTAACCGTTGGATCGTTTCCAAACTGAAGTATGTTGATTTAGGTACTCTTAGAATCCTATAGGAATTCGTGGATCGTGAATCGGAGCCCCGGATGTTCCGATTCAATAATTCAAAGTTTGTGGGATTAACGATAACCGTATGATGGGAAGCGATTCCCAAACCTGTAACCGGACCTTAGGATATCCTATTGGACGTACACGCACCGGGATCTTGGGGATTTAAGTATTCTCTTTTGTGAAATTCCCGTTTCGAAGTGTATTATATTAATCAAGAGTTCGTATCTCGAAATAGGTACTTCGGTCGATCATTCGCAGCAGGCAGGACCCTCTCGGGGCCGGGCAGCGTGGGATTACCTGTGAGTGGACTTTGTTTTCAAGCATTTGCATGGTTTTATTGATAAAAGATTTGTGCATATGTTTTAAATGGAAATGTGATTTATTAAGTATTTGGTTGATGACTTTGGATATTCATATACGTATTGGCAATATATTTTGAGTATGGCTATGTTTGAGTATTATGGATATGTTTATATGGATTTTGGGATATCTGTCTATATTGCCTATGTATGGAGTATGAGGAGTTGTTGTTGTGAGATTGTGGAAAGATATGAGTTTGAGGGATGGTTGTGAGATGTATGAGTATGTTAGGTGAGTACCATTCCCTGGTTACTAGGCTTCCCACACATGGCGTTGGCAATGCCGGTGGGGTGGGAAGGCCATGAGATTGCTGGTCTCATACATGGCGTTGGCAGTGCCGGTGTATGGGAAGAGTATGTATATTGCTTAGTATCATCACACATGGCGTTGGCAGTGCCGGTGTATGGGAAGAGTATGTATATTGCTTAGTATCATCACACATGGCGTTGGCAGTGCCGGTGGGGTGATGATACTGTCTGCGCGCGTAGGACTTGATAAGAGATTTGTGAGCTACACGTGTCGTTGGCAGTGCCGGCGTGTGAGCTATGGAGTTCCGTCCCCCGGTTGGACTACTCATCCCTGGACGCGGGTTCATGTTCGAAAATCCTGCGTACCAGCCAACAGTCCCCCGGTTGGATTGTCTTCCCCGGTACATTAGTATGGAGAGAAGTATACGTTATATTATAGATATATATATATATATATATATATATACTTATATATGTATACATATGTATGGATTGATGAGAGTTGCATACTTTTGGGAATGGAGTTGTGGTTTGAGATTTTGAGAGTTATTGGACTTTGAGAGTTTATGTTTGAGTATTTGATTTATGGATGTGGAAACTGCATGCTTGAGCATTATTTTTACACGGTGGGGTTACTATGTTGTTTTAAATGCAAACTTTATTTTTGTCCACTCACATATTTCTGTTTTGCGCCCCCCAGGCAGTAGTGGCTTTTGGAAGCGCTCAAGCAAGTTGCGAGCTCCAACTTTTCATCTGTAGATAGGATTCGTGTAAATTCCTTCTACTCTACTGTTGTGGTAAACAAATTCTGTTAGATGCTCTGTTATCGCCCATGTTAGGTTGTTACTTGAGGCCGGAGGCCATTTTACTTTGGATTGTTGTATGTTGAAAGCATGCTGGCAGTTGGGAATTATATTATGTAAATTATGCAGGTTGAATGTTGTTGGGTTTGAGCATTTTACAGGGGAGATTCTGCCAAAATTTTGGTAGGATGTCTTGGGTTTTTAGTAAGTGGGCCCGGCATCGGTTTGATGTCGGCAACAAAACGGGGTCCGCCCCGGTTTCAGGGGAAATTCCGGGGCGGGTCCTGTCACTAGCCATATTTACGAAAAGTATACTTTAAGCCACAATTGAAACAAACAAATCGGCCCAGTAGTATTACAATTCATTGGGTTGAGTGACACCATATTGTAGAGACCTCAATATAAATACACCAACACCATTGGCCCAAGAGCCAACCAATGGCCTTTTGCTAGTACTCCTAGGATAACTTGTGCCAACGACATGCAGAAGACATATTTGCATAGCCAAATCATGAGAAAAGTTGTTCTTTATGTGTGAGTGGCCCTGTTTCTTGAGCATTAGCTTCCATGAAAACCTTGTAGCTTTTGTTCTTCTTAGTGAAACCGAAATCAACCTCATATTTTGATGGAGAAAGAGTACTTACTTCACCACCACATGGTCGAAAACCCGCCATGGTAGCTAAATCAAGCAAAGTTGGGGTCATCATCCCAAATCTTAACTTCATAGTATTGGTATAAGGTGACCAAAAACAAAGACCGACTGTGACAAGATTATAGTCACATGTTAAACTGGACTTACAAAGCATGATTGCATTATAGATGCCCTCCTCTCTCCATTGCATATTGCACAAGCTTGACAATCGATCAAGCCACTTGTTACATTTTTTCGGCCTTGAAGTAGGCCAACCCCTCCTAAGCTTGGGTTGATCCCAACCTTGCCAATTAAGGTATTTTTCGAGCAAACAAATGTCTTTCTGTTGCGGTCGCATAACCTTAACAACAGAGTTGGGCATACAGCAGTGAAAATAGGGACCAAGGAGCATATTGCGTGGAGTGGCAGGCACTGGCGCAAAATCATAAAATTCATTGGAGAAAGCGACCTCATCTTCATTAAGGGCATCAACCAAGATGTTGTTGTACTCTCTTACTTCTTCGGGAGACATTGAAGTACGATAAGAAAGTGGGAAATTGGTAATCTGCAAAATGTTAATTGTTAGTGATATTCAATTATGCAATTTTTTCGTTAATATATATATATATATATATATATATATATGAAATTTGGCCTTCTAGCCATACTGCGTCAAATAACCTTACGGTCATAATGTCATAATAAATGGCTCTTTTGGGCCAAATTGGGAGTAGAAAAAAAAATCATAAAAAAGAGCCAGCTAAGTGGCCATGTGACCAAAGCAATCTAAATGGCCTTACATCCACGAGGGAAGTTAAATAGCCATATGGGCAATTAAAATAAAAGCATGCATCGTGGGATATTGAAGATGTCAACCGGTCCATATTCGTGTGGCCAGATAAATATGTATATAGCAACAGTAAATATCCTAACATGGTATAGTGCTGAGATTGAAAAACTCACGTACTTGAGAGACATTTTTGAACAGCGCGTGGTCTTCCAAATCCCGATTGTGCGCCGAAAACGCAAAGAAAAAAAATTGTGCGCCGGAAGGTGTGACATCACCATGCGAGTCACGTGAGTCCCCTTCGGCGTTCGACATGGAGGGTGCCGAACGGAAGGTGTGATGTCACTTGGAGGGTTTTGTGAGTCCCCTTGCGTGTTCAACACTAAGTGTGCCGAACGGAAGGTGTGACGTCACCTTGCGAATCGTGTGAGTCCCCTTGTGGGTTGGCACAAAGGGTGCAACGAAAGTTGTGACATCAACTGGAGGGTTGCGTGTTCGGCACCGAGGGTGCAACAGAAGGTGTGATGTCACCTGGCAGGTTGCATGTGTCTCCTTGCGCGTTCAGCATGGAAGGTGCCAAACGGAAGATGTGACGTCACCATGCGAGTTGCGTGAGTGTCCATTTGTGTTGAATATGTGCATGAACTTTCCAATTTTTATATGAACTTTGATGAACATGCGTAGTGTTCACCCATTTTGATTTAATCTTGCAACGGTAGGGTAAACTTCCTTATTGGCTTGACAACCATTAATGGTCAACAAGTCAACTTTCTTTGTGCGTGAGCGTGCCACCGCTAGCAATTTAAAACCCTAGCAGACTTCTAAAAAAGAATAGATAACTTGCGCCCCAAGTTATTGACTTTTGAACAAACAATTGTGAATTTGGGTGAGAAATATCTCCCAAGTAAGTTCTTTTCTTTGCCTCAGACTGGTGAGGACTTCATAATTTTTCATAGTACAAAATGGGTAGTTCTGGCCAGAATAGACAAAAAGAAGACGAACTATTTTAAGCAGAACTGCCTGTTACAAGACTCAAAAACGAAATGACAACTCCGAAGCGAGACAACAGGATGTTGGACTTCGATTTATGCCTACATAACTGCCTCTGAACCGGGCTGGATTGGATGTGTCTGTGCTGGATTGGATCATCAACACCTTCAAATGATGAGTTTCAGTTGGAAAATCAATGCCAATGTTTGAGTTTGGCAGAGCTTTAATTTATTTCAAGCCATGGAAGGCTTGCTGAATGGGCAGAATTAAGGCCTCTTCAATCTAGAGAGGGCAAAAGTGGCTGGATTGATGATCATTGAGCTAGAGCTGTGTTATGGTGCCTGTTCTGCTTGACCAAGCTTTCTGTAAATTTGCTAAGGTTTTCATATTTGTAAAAACCTGGACTTTGCTTGACTTGGCTTTGTGCTGAACCAAATTTGTAACGAGAGAAATCTCGCTTTGTAAAACTGTTTCTCTGAGCTAATTTGGAATAAAAAACTTGAATTCTAGCTGACTTGTTTCTTGTGGCTCAATGAGCTTTGGTTGCTTCAGTGTTTGAAGGCTTTTGAGATCAAATGGATCTTTTTGAGTTTGTCAATTGTGACTTTGAGAGTTTTTGTCTTGATTGATTTTTTGGTTGTCCTTTGATATGTTCATCTTGTCTCATATTTATAGAAAATACTGGAGTGGGGCTTCTAATATTTTAATAATGGGAGGCGGATTTTCCAAAAGAAATATATTTTATTTTAAATGTCAAGAAAATGGGAAATTTATCTATTCTGGCAGAAAAAGCTATCAACAATCAGTTCTTATGGTAATCACTTCCCTGCCTTTCTTGAAAGAAAACCTAATCCCTACTTACTCTTTAACTGTCCTTTGTAAGAATGCAATCTGCCATGATGGTTAGTTTGCTTTTCCTGATGAACAACTCCCTGCTCCTTACTTATCTCTTTAGAAAATGTAGTATGCTTATCCCTTGGAAATGATACATACTCTAGTTCAGAATTTTTCTGTACATAGAAAGGGATTTTGATCTTTTGGGTGCAAAAAATCATAAAAGTCTTCCTTTTATACCTGCCTTCATTAACTCTCTGTCAACTTCTTTGTGACAGTTGAAATTTTTACTTTTCCAAGTCCGGTAGTCACGTGGAGATTTTGAGAGAAACTCTTTTTAGAAAGTTTTTGCTGACTTGCCTCCTCCTTGGGTAGAGTGATCTTTCTAAAAAAAAATTAGATGATGTTCATTAAAAATAGGGCTAGAAAATTCACAATATGCTAGAAAGGGTCTGGGTTCTTTCAGCATTTTTGGTTTTTGACTCTTGATCTCTGTAGAAAAAGCCCAAATGTTTTGTTCATAGGTCTCTTTGAAAAAACTGGGCTAGCTTGCAGAGTTCTTTTTGGCCCAAAACATGAGGTTGATTTTGGTGTTTGTTTAAAATGGCATGGGCTTCTTCCATTTTGGGTTGATAATTCAATTTCTTAAAAACATGGAGCCTGAAATCGTTTATTTTTGTGGGCCAATAGTTTTGGGCTGGGCATGCAGATTTTAGGCCCAAACAGTTAGGCATGTCATTTTCTTAGAAACCTTGTTTTCAATCTTTGCATGCCCATTAGTTTGTCTTTATTTGTGTTTGTAGATGTCTGATAATTCTGAAACCAAAGTCTGCCAAGTACTCATGCCTTCAATGGGGAAGACTTGGAGAGTGATAGACAAGAGGAAGCTCTGGGTAATAATAGGGAGAGTACCGAGTCTGAAGGTATAGTGGAAAGGTTGATAGTGGAGGGTGGTAGGGGGAAGAAGAGCAATCAGTAAGAGGAGGCTTATAGAGAAATGCAAAGGAACTATTTAGTTAATTATCTGTTAATTTATCACAAAAAATTGGAAGGAAATGCATTGCATGATGAGTTTAACTGATTAAGTTGATTATATAGCCAGCTGACAAACACTGTGAGTGTAAGAAATATGTAGTAATTAATGAAAGAAGATTAAGCACACCATACTAATTTATATATAATGATTTACTATAATATTTTACACTTTATACACTGCATGGTAAGATACATGAGTGACTTAGTACCACATAGAGTTCCTATGAGGTTCAAATTTTTCACTATCTTCATAATCTATGTGTAAAGTAAGTGTATTTTGAAGAGTAGTCATCAAATGATAAATCCCCAAAATAGTTTTGCATGTAATTGTTAACATACCATCCATACGGATCTGAGATTGGTTGACGTTGTCTATAAGCAAAATCATTTGAAGATTGGATCTCGGATTCTTTCCATGAGTCGCTCGATTCCATCCCAAAAGAAAGGGTCAGAGACTCACATTCTCATGTGAAAATTTGATTCTTGCAAAAAACAGTTCAAAACAAAACAATATAAATATACATATTTTGGCATATTATCACAAAAACATAAGCAACATGGCAGTTAAGGAGTTGGAGGAGTGAAATGGCACGAGTTTAAATCCTCTTTGCTTGTGTGCTTTGTGCTTTTTTTTTTCCCCTTTTTTCCATTACATCAATATTTTGTTGTTGATATTTTTGATATTATAGCGATATTTTGATAAAATATTGGTGAAGTGTAAGCAAAATTATCGATATCGATATTTTCTGATATTATCATCGATATTTATATTATATGTGTATGGATACGTTCTAAAATATCCGTGACCTGAAAAAACGGTAATATCCTCGATATTTCGTCGATATTTTAGACTATGGTTACAATCCACCTTAGTTGTGATTTCAGTTCCGCTCGTGATTGCGAAAGTGAGGATTGGGGGAAAGGATGCTACGGTGCATCTGGGTTTGGTCGAGAGCGAGAAGATGGAAGGGTTTGACATGGGGGGGCGTGGGAGAAAAAAAAGAGAGAGAGATATACATTTACTTATTTTATGTCATATATTTTAATTAGATCATTATTAGTATTATTTATTTATTTTATTATTCCATGTGGCACAAGATATGTGAGTCTGCATGGGACTATGAATTATATGTCATCGTTTAATGGAAAACTTGACAGTTAGAGTTGTTGAGGTCCAAAAAATCCATGGTTGGGTCCGAATAAATTCCCGACCTAGCGCAATGTCCTATTAAGAAAAGACCCGATTTGGAGTACCCAAAAATTCTTCATTCATGCTCACACGAGTCGTGATCCACGTGTCGTGCCAAATAAATATGCAACATGTCACGCTAAGAGTTGAAATAAGGCTTTTACAAGCCCATGCTAATTATCCCATCAAGCATTATATCCCTTTTTAAAGGTGACAAAATTCAAGCATGCCAAGCGAAAAAATCATTATTATTACACCTAGTCACGCTACAAGCTTAAGTGGGCTTAGGCCACGCAAATCCCTGGGGCTTGCTTGAGTGGGTTGTGGTATGGATGGTAATAAGTTGTCATGAGGCCCATTGCTGGGCCGAGAAATGGAAATTCTGGGTTGCTTGGGAGCCTCGGAACTCAAGCCTATTTCTTAGGCCCAAGCATATGGGTGAGCACAAGAGAGAAAATATCCCAACCAAAATGGTCCATTAAATTAACCCATATAGCCCAATACTTGATGAGATTAGCCCATTTGTTTGGTATATTGACTTGCCATCTTAGAAAGCCCACACAATTAGAAGCAAGAATCAGCAAAGGTTCCAGCATTTGGCTGAAAGACAAAGCCACGGAAGAGCTTGGAAGATCACATGAGCTGCTGGGAGGGAAGGAACAAGTTTTCAAGCAAAACCTCGAAGGGACCAAAAGATATTGGCGCGCAAGGAGCCACCCTTCGAACCAGCATGTATACCAATTTATTTCCTTCATAAGATTTGACCATGAAGGAGGAAAAGAAAGAGAGGAAAGGAGATATTTGAAAATAAGAATTCTTCACTAGTGCAGTTGCAGGAAAGGAACCTTGAGCTCCCAAAATTCCTGATTTTGTGCAAAGGAGCATAGTAGATTTCACCAAAATAGGATGATTGAAGGGATGAGGGGAGAAAGGAAAGGAAAGACTTGGCAAAATGAAATAGAAGCCATTAGGGTTTCTTGGAAAAAGATGGCTTCCAGCAGCTGTAAATAGGGCATCTTCTACCCAACAAAAACCATTCACAACCAGAGAGCAAGCTTCCTCTCTTGCCTGCAAAACCCATCAATTTTCGTGCTTAGTTCATCTCCTCCCTCCTTAGTTTTCCTTCTTGGCATGTTATTCTAACACTTGACAGAACCTCTGTCAAGCTACCGGAAAAAGCACTCAAGTCATCTTTTTCTCTCTTTCCCTCATTCTCAACCAAACCTTTCTGCAGAACCCATTTTTCCCCTACCTTAATACCCCATCTTTCCCCTAGGAACACTTAAACTTCTCTTTAGTGCTAAACTCATGGCAACTTTGCTTCCATGCCAAGCTAAGATTCTACCTGTAAGCACTAAAAATTTATCTGTAAGCAGCCATTATTTTTGTTGGTGAAGGTAACCAAGGTGTTTCCTAAGGCTTTACTTACCTTTCAAAACATTTTGGGGTCTGATATTTGAACTCAGACACAAGGGGTAATTTCATTCAATTCGCTCCTTACAGCAGCCCAACCCAGTAGCTGCCGGAAGAAAAAAGCTCATACAAAAGTTTAGGTATTAAACAAATTAAAAAAACTTTTGGTAGTAAAAGTTAAAATGTGGGAAACTTCCGGCTAGTAAATGTTACCCCAAAAATATATATATAAAAGAGCAACCTATGCACAACATGTGAAAATAAAGCTGTTATTTTTAACTAGCTTCTTCTTCGCACTTCTGTGCTTAGGAGATGTTTTTTTCAAAAAAATTTAAATTTATTTTAGAATTAAAAAAGATAATGGGTAGTTGTGTTTTTTAAAAATAGGATATATTATCTGGATTTTCTTTTAATTTTAATTTTTATAATATTAATGTAGGGGCTTTTTTTTTCTTCTAGCAGCAAATGGGCTGGGCTACTGCAAAAGGCAGACTAAGGAGATTGCCCCTTTTTGTTTAGGTTCGAAAATTAAGCCCCAAAATACCTCGAAAGGGCAGCAAAACCTTAGGAGATATTTTGGATAATCTTCACCAACGAGAATAATGGTGACTTGCAGATAGTTTTGGCATGCTTACAGATGGTCTTTTCAGCTCAGCAGGAGTGGCATGTGGCATGGGAGCAAAACCAACATGGGTTTAGCACTAAGAGAGAAATTAGGCTTGGTTGATGAGAAAAGGAAGTGTTTAAGTAAGGAATGAGGTGTTTTGTGAGGAATTTGACTAGAGAAAGAGAAAAAAGAAAGGCAGGGTTCTTCCGGCAGCTGCCAGAAAAACAAATTGGAGAAGAAGATGAACAGTGCACGAGTCTGTTGAGTTTTTGCAAGATAGAGAGAAAAGCTTGCTCTCTGCAGGTTATGGGTTGTCTCTTGTTGGGTAGGGGAAGGCTCAATTTATAGCTGCTGGAAATCGCCATTTTTCAAGAAACCCTAATGGCTTCTACTTATTTTGGCTAAGTTTTTCTTCCTTTCTCCTCCTCTTCTCTGACTTCCCTTTCTTGGCAAAGATTGCTTCTGTCTATTTACATGATTTCAGGGGATTTGGAGGCTCAACATCCTCCTTTCCCGCGGCTGTGCAGTGGGAGCTTCTACTCTTGGTTTGCTGTTTTCTCTTCTTTCCTTTCCTCCGTTTTAACCAAATCTGACGAAAGAAAGGCAGTGAAGATGCATACTGGTCCAAGGGATGTTTCTGACAGCATGCGGGATAGTACTCATTGATTCTTTGGATGTCTCTGGCTTGGGACTGGTTTCCAGCAGCTTTGCTTAAGGAGTCTACCAACCTCCTCCTTCACGTGTTCTCTGTTTTTCAAAAGAGCTGAAGCTCTTGTGGGCTATTTTGGGTTTTTCTAAGGGCCAAAATGGCTTTCTAAGCAAATGGGCTTGTTGGGCTTCTTGATTTGGGCTTATTATTTTTTTGGTTGTGTTATCTCTTGGCTAGGTTATTTTGCTTGGGCTTTTGGGCTATTTTTCTCTCTTGTGCTTACCCACATGTTTGGGCCTAAGAAATGGGCTTGAGTCTCGAGGCTCCCAAGCAACCCGAGACTTTCCATTTCTCGGTCCATCAATGGGTCTCATGTTGATTTATCACCATCCATGCCACAACCCACTCAAGCAAGCCCCGGGTTTTTTTGAGTGGCTTGGGCCCACCTAGGCTTGTAGCGTGGTTGGGTGCGAGATAACGGCATGGCATGTTGCTCGGCATATTTTAATTTATCGCCCTTGGGAATGATTGTTTTAATTTTAGCATGAGTTAATCATATTTTTATCGCGAATCATAGCATGATAATTTGTTTATTTAGCGTGGCATGTGGATTATAACTCGCATGTGATAGACCCTTTTTTTCTTTTCCCTTATGGAATATTGTATTGGGCTTATAATTGCTCGGGCCCAATCCATGGATTTTTTGGGTCTCAACAATTAAAAAGTGTGAATTTACCCTATTATCCTCATTTAATTAAGAAATAGATTTGTTTCAATTTTGAATTCTAAACAAATTGGAAACATTTATTTGGAGATGAAAATGAGACGGAGGACGGTGAAATCAGAGAGTTGAAGCACGAACAAGAGAGCAGAAAACCCTAAATAAAAAGCCCAAATATACATACGAATACGATTACGATTACGAATACGATCACGATCACCGAAGCTTCTCCTCCTCTATAATCAGTCCCTTCTTCTTGTGGCCGTGTGGGCCGTGATGGTTGTGAACGAGCGACCACCGAAACGGATGAAGAGGCGAATAACAGCAGATCTCAACGACTTCTTCACCTTCCCGTCGGAGTCGGCGTCGGCCAACCATGTGGGGCCCTTCAGGACCTGCGTTAGGGATTTCATCTCTAAGCACGCGCTGCTTCCTCCGCCCTCCTCCCTCTTCCCTCACCTGATGACATGGCAGGTCCTCTTCAGGGTCGGGGATCTCCATGATCCGCATGCATCTTCTTCTTCGTCCACCGACGCTGCCGTCGTCTGTCTGGACGTCGTAGAGGAGGACGTGGCCAGATCTAGATCCGTCTATTGTGATCACTGTCGAGTTGTTGGTGAGTTCACTCACTGACTCAGCTCTCCAACTTTTTTTAAAATTTAAAATTTTCTTTTTCGTTTTAAAATATTGTAGTAATCTCAATTTCGCAAGGTTGAACGAGATCAAACTCATATCTGTCAGTTTGTCTGTTTAAATGCTTACGTGGTACATGTGTTCTAATTTTTATTTGTGTTTTTTGATCTTTTGAAATCATTCACAAATGAAAATCAAACTAAAAAGCAACAAATTCTAAAACCAAGTTAAAACCTGAAAAACACAACTTAAACGTGCAGGTGGTGGAGAGAGAATGGTGAGAGGGGAGGGATGAGAGTGGTTGTTTGGGTGCGGTGGTCAGTTGTGAGGAGGGGAGAAAGGTGGGAGGGTGGGTGCGCTGTGGGGGGATGAGGATGGGGTGGGGGTTGGGAGTAATGAATTTGTTATGAATTTTGATTTACTTTAATTATTTAAAAGATAATGAATTATTTATTTGTTTGTTCTATGTAATATGGTTATCAACTGTAGTGAATTATGAGTTGTATTCTTCACGATTTGAAATGATCGTGAAATGTAATTGGGTGTCCTTTTAGATGGGGCTTGAATTATTGTTTCTGAAGATGTTGGGTGAATTTTGGGTTTTTAGTGCAATCAAAAGAGTTGAATAATCAAGAAGTAACAACGAATTAAATTTTCAACTATTCATCCTCTTACATTGTACGAGTAAAGCAAGGAATTGATATCATGAACTTTTAGTTTATGGTTAGGGATCATAGACCTTGAGATTGCTATCATCGCATAATTTTGTAAGACTAAAATACATTTAATGAACTTTACCAACCAACAATAGTCAACCAGGTGAGTTCTGACCTTTTATATTCCTTTTTAAAACGTTTAGGATGGAGTGGTCACCCAGTTTGCTGGAAACGTTATCATTTTATTATTAAGGCTGATGGTAATTCCATTGGCGGGTATCACAAGCCTTGTATGTGCTGTGGAGATGTTGTGCATATCTACGAATCCAAGTGAGACTTAAAAACCTTTTTCTCTGTATATGCATTTATTTCTCACTATTTAATTTAATTATTTTTATGCATCATTTACTTCTTATAATTGCTTCTGCCATATTGATACCAATACCAGTGCCGCTAATCATATATAACATATATAAATATATATGAGGATTGTATGTGCTTATGTCATCCTTCTCATATTGTTTATTTCTTCTTGTTTTTCATATGCATATGCATATGTAGGTGGATTGATCCATATTAGAAGTTATTGTCTTTGTGTAAGCGAAATTTCTTCTATTTTGTTCTGGTCTATCTGTATATCTCCTTTTAAGTCTTAAAATTGCAAGTGCTAAAAAATCAACTTGTTTTTGTGTTTACAAAGATTTTGTTAATTGGAAACAAGTTTGGTGTTTATGTGATGATGGTTGCTCAAATAAGTCAATCTGTTAGACATTTCTAAAAATAATTGAGTACTCATATATGTAAAATATAAAATAAGTTTGATGTGTTAACGAAAAATGCAGGGGTCTCCTTCAAGGGAAATAAAGAAACAACACATAATCTTACACACTTTCAGTGTTTGGATTTTTAAACATCTAATGGTTGGAAATAATTAAGATGACACCAAAGTATAAATATCATCATTAATTTTTTCAAGCGTCTATACTCCTTTATTGCTTCTTGGGAACATAAAGGCACTTAAATAAATAAAAATTCATTGCATCTCACTCCTCCCATTCGTTGTACTCTGTCTCTGCATTTTTTTTGGGTCTCACTCTTCTGTTGCACCTAAAGCCATCGAGACAAAAGCCATTTGAGTCATATGCATCTTCATAATCCCAATTATTTTTTTAAAAAGATTGTTTATTTTGATGGTGTCGTATTCATTTTCAACTGTCAGATGTTGAAATATTAAGATATTGAAAGTGTTTACAATTGTGTCCCCTGAACTGCACTCATTCCTTTGCAACTTTAGGTTTCCTTGACTTGTATAGTTGGTTGAACCAGTTCACTGAATGTTTAACACAAGTATGCGTGCTAATTTCCTACCCTTCAGCTACCATTGATAGGGTTGAGAATGATTTTTACATGGTTGGTGATGTGTCTTTGTCGCAGGTGTAAATCTTGCAATCTTGATGCAAGTACAAATGATGTTGAAGACTGGGTGTATAACCAGTTGGAGAACACAACTCATCTTCTCCATGGAGTAGTCCATTCAAATGGGTTTGGACACCTTCTTAGGGTAAATGGGAGGGAAGGTGGCTCAAGGGTTCTTTCTGGATGTCATATCATGGACTTTTGGGATCGGCTCTGTAAAGCACTTCGAGTCAGGTTAGGTTTTGTATTTTTATTTTTATAGTTTGGTTTAATATCAATACCATACATATTAAGGAAACCCTTTTTGTCAACCAGAGGAAGATGCCATTTCCAACACATATGCATAGTTTGTGTGGATAGTTGTAGTTTTTAAAAATATGTTTTTCTTCAAATAGCTGGGCCAGACATGCCCTAGTCTTGAGGCTTTGGCTATGTACTCTATTAGGAGTTGAACCCATAACCACTCTTGTAATGAAAGCAGAGAAATACAACAACATACGTGGACTAGTATTCAGGGTGAGGTTTTTTATTAGAGTATAAAGTTCCATCGGTAATTCTATCGTTACAAAAACCTTTATATAATATGGATTATAAGTGATGTATTTCTTCCTTTTAAATTTGTGTTGCTTTCACCAAAAAAGTGCGGTCTTATTTTTTTATACTATTTTTATTTTTACATGCTCTTTTTCATGACATAAACTCCCATCTGTCATTTTCCAAACATGAGCAGAATGGTAAGTGTGATGGATGTGTCAAAGAAGTACGGATTGGAATATCGACTACTTCATTCAATTATTAAAGGGCATCCCTGGTACGGTGATTGGGGTTATGAATTTGCTGCTGGTAGTTTTGCTCTGACTCGTGATTCCTATAAATTGGCCATTGAAACACTCTCTAGCTTACCCTTGTCCATCTTTCTTAGCCAAGGTCGAAAACTTGGTTCTCGCATCCATGACATCATCTTGCGTTACAAGTCTCTATCGGAACATGAGCTTGAAAATATGAGGGATCTTTTTGGTGTCCTTATTAGTTTGGTCCATGATGCTCACAAGTGTTCCTCAAGGGTTGATGATGCCGTGAGCAAGAAGCGACGTGCGTCCACCTCAGAAGTTTTGTGTACATGGAATAGTGACATTGAATGTGTTGAAGAGGCCATGCTTAAAGTGCTGCGTGCAGTTTCTGGTTCAAATTGGGTAAGTGGGCGCAATCTTAAGGGTGCTGTGTACAAGGTGGCACCACCAGAACTCCTTGATTATTGTCTTAGGGAACTTGGAGGGAAAATGGTAGCGGATGGGATGGTTGTTTGTTCCAGATACAATCCTGATACGGAGGCTTTCGAGTACAGGTTAGTTGCCATTCTAATGCTTATAAATTTTCCCCTGGCTAGAATTTTCTTTTCCTTTTTTCCCCACTTGAAATCAAACTCATATGTTAGTGTCGTGGAGGGGGAGTGAAACGACTTTTCTAATCAAATTCATTCCTACCCTTCTTATTTTTCCTCTGGCAGATTTAGCCTTAACCATCTTTAGCCATTCTTCAAATGTTCAATACACTGTTTGTGTATGTAAGATTTTGATTGGAAATATAAGCTCTAGTCTGTTTGATTGGAAATTGCAGACCATAATGTCATTGCAAGGGATTTTTCTTTTCTTGTAAATTCCTTCACAGTTTTTGCACGTAGTGATAAGCAGTTTGCAACAGTCATACAGTTTGCTAATTACACCTTGAATTTGCTTATGAAACTTAGTAACTTAAGTAAATAATTATAGTGTTAGATTTGATATTCAAAAGATCTAAATGCTAATGAGTTAGTTTGTGGACCTGATTTTCTATATTTGTTCTGTGGACCTGATTTTCTTTGAACTTAATTTGTAATTTTTATGTATCAACAGTTAAGTTAGATTGTAATGCACTAAAAACTGTTTATCAGACTTGAGGCTGGAAGTGCCTCATCAAAGGGAAGCACCGCTTGCACTGGTTCTTCCATCTCTAGCCGCCTATCAGAAGAAACAATCCTGCTTGACATGCGCTGCTTATATGAGGCCATGCTCCAACCCCAAACTATGATGAAGAATGTGCCTCAGGTAACAAGGGATCTCACAATCAGCTCAGCTGAAAAGCTACTTTACTGCAAGCAGTTTGTGAAAGACTACAAGCCTGAAAAGATGTCCACTAATGACCCATCTGTGACATGTGTCTTGTGTAGAGTGGAATTTACGGATGAATCTGAAGAATATGCCTCCATTAATCCTCCTCCAGAGCTGATTGTGTTATCTAATGCTACTGTATCTGATCTCAAGATAGCAGCATCAAAAGCTTTCCAAGATGTATATTTGATATTAAAAAGATTTAAAGCCGAAGAGTTGCTTGATTATGGCGGTGTTGATGAATCCACCCAGATCAAGCACTTGTTAGGGTCAACAGAATATGTTCGAGTGAGAGGGAGGTGCAATGCAAAGAGTGTGTGGAGTAAGTATATGATGGAGAGGGGGATTGAGAGGTGGACAGTGGATTGCAGCTGTGGGGCTAAGGATGATGATGGAGAGAGAATGTTCACTTGTGATGTTTGTGGCGTGTGGCGGCACACTAAATGTTCTGGAATCCCTGACTCTGATTCAGTTCCTGCAAAATTTGTTTGCGATAGATGCAAAAGCTCCATCTTTGTAGCAAAATCTGGCGGGCCCTGCAAGGACGAGATAGTAGCTAATGTTGCTGGAGATAGCTGCAGCCGTGCTGGAAATAGTTTGACCGGCCCTCCTGATGTTAGATGAGATTATTCCATCGGTGTCTGAATAAATAGTGTTGTGGTTTCTGGAAGAGAGGTTGGTTCTTGGAACATGTACATAAGATGATGCATATGATGCAGGCCTCTGGAATTTGTGAGGGCAGTTGCACTCTCTTAATCTAATTTCCCACACCTCTCATTTGGTTCCTTTTTGTATATATTCTTCTTCTGCCTATGGCGGCCAAATACTTCCCAATATAACAAGAAAAAAGAGAAAATTGGAGCTATCTTGGAAAAATGTCGGTTGCCCTGAGATAAAATTAGACTTTTTTTTAAAATCTTTTTGATGTATTTAAATGTCAATTTTTATTCTTAAGAGCACTTCCACCTATTTGCCTTGGCTTGATTGATGAAGCATACCCATTGATATGGCAACTTGATCATCATCTTCTTCCTCCTTTTCTTCTTCAGCTCGTTTGCGCCTTCTTTCTTCAATTTCTCGCTCTTGCTTCTCTAAAAACCTTCTTGTGTAAGACATTGAGAGCAACGAATGTGTTTTCTAAAATTTGAGAAAAGACATTGAGAGCAATAAATGTGTTTTCTAAAATTTGATAAATTTTTCGAATAAAGAGGATATAGTGTGAGAGGTCTAAGTTGGTGTGGAAAGTGAATCTATATATATAAAGCAGAAGGCAGAGAATGGTGAAACATTCAAAATACAAGAAAATATCCTTTATTAATTCAAACATTAATTAAATGAGGATAATATGGTAAATTCACATTTCTTCATATTATAAAAATTAAAAATTAAAACAAAATAAAATAATATATCCTACTTTTATGGAACACTAGCCCATTGGCACATGCGTGGTTTTCTTTTTTCTTTTTTATATTATTTTTAGAATTAAGAAAAGATAATTTTAATTTTACCAATAAAAGAAAAAAGAAAAAAGAAAACCAATTGACACATGCGTGAGCATGTTGCAAGGGGTTAGTAATATTTAGAAGGAGAAGGAAATGTATGAAGATTTGGTCTGGAAAGTGAAGAATATTGGTAGGTATTTATAAATAAATAAAATTCAGTTTTTTTGATTTTTTTTTATAAAAAAAATCGAATGTTTTTTCAATTTATTTTACACAAAAAATGGCAACTATTGGATTGGAGGACATAATATGATTGAACACCCCAAGACAAGCTAGTGGCTTGTAGTCGTTGGTGGAAAGCAGGGCTAATGCCAGGCTAGCGTCAACGCACGGAAGTTTCAAATTTTTTTACTATTGACATATGCACCAACTTGACGTTAGCGCTAACGTCAGCAGCCCTCGGCCATGAGCTCGGGCTCGATCTACCTTTGGGCTTAATGGGTTGGTGGCCCCCACCGTTTGCCCAGTTGCTCGTGAACCTCGAAACGAGCCTCAAGCCCATTTTTGCTAGGGCTAGCCTGCAACAGTGGAAGTGCTCTTAGAATTGCAATCATTCACTTCGAAACTGGATTTAGGCATTTCTGCTGGAATTATGTGGGTCAATTTGCGGCTCCCACCCCCAACAAACTTTCACAAACAAAATTCATTTTTTACTCACAATTTGAATTCTAAAACGAAAATAAAATAAAATCGCATTTCTTGAAACAATGAATTAAGGGTTAATGGTTTTATTAGTCCCCCAACTTTGACCGAATTTGCATTTGAGTACCTCAATTTCCAAAATGGTACCTGTGGTCCTTTAACTTTAGTTTCGTTTGGACAACTAGTCCCACCGTTACTTCTGTCAATTTTTTCGTTAAATTTAAGGGTAGATGAGTCTTTTCAGGTTAGTTTTATTATCCCCCTTCTGCAACTTGCCTTCCCTACCAGAATCCATAATCAATTCTAGAATCATTTTCTCCAACAAATCTAGCCAAGAAAATCATTCATTCCTCTTAGCAGAGGAGAGAGCGCACCAACCAATCAACCACTATTCAGTTTTCAAATTGAAATTACAACAAATATATACATAGATGATGATTGAGATGAATAACCGAGTGGTGGCGGGGCAAGTGTGTTTGACGAGTGCGAGGGTTGTTCCCAATCCGAACAAAGCAGCACCAGGAGGATGCCCTCGAAACCTTGTCAATGGCATCGGCAAAGGCAAATTAGGTGGCAATATTTTCATTTCTTCACCACCACAATTAGTAGTAGCTGCAACAACACCAATTCCAATCCCAATCCAAAAGGAAAATTCTCGGGACATGTTTGGTTACAGAGAAAACCCACAACGCAAACACAAGAAATGAGGTTTTTTTTAAAATCAAACGGATTAAAGAATGGCAAAAAAAAAAGTATGGGATTTGATGAGAATTGAAATGTGGAGAGAGAGGGACGTACAAAAAGCTCAACAACATCAAAGGCTGCGAGATCGGAACCAAGAGCAGAGATGCCGAGATTGAGGCAGCGAGTGAGGAGTTGTTTGGCCTGTTCCTGACACTCCATAGAGAGATTGGGATCCACACCAACGTCGCCGTGCACAGCGATTGCCCACCCGCCCATTTTCTCTCTCTCTCTCTCTCTCTGATTGCCTGTCTCTCGCTCTCTATGTCCTCTTTCTGGACTTGCTTTGTTGTCTCTCCGTTTCACTCTCTAGCTCTCTCTCTCTCTCTCTCTCTCTCTCTGTTGTGGCTGCGAGTATGAAGGGGGCTGAGGGAGGTTCATATAGGTGCTGGCAGATGCGAGGGTGTTCCCAATCCGAACAAAGTTCGACACGACTGTACTTTGGCTCCACCAGAACCACCCTAAGACTTTGCCCAAGGGTTTTTCCTAGTTCTCTCAGAGAATCTAAAAGTCTTTTTTGCCCCTCAAAACTAACATGAAAAGACCTATTTATTCCTAATTTTAACCAAAAAATTGACAGATGTAACGGTGAGACTAGTTGTCCAAACAAAACTAAAGTTAAAGGACCACGGGTACCATTTTGGAAATTAAAGTACTCAAATTCAAATCCGGTCAAAATTGGGGGACTAATAAAACCATTAACCCATGAATTAATGAAAGTTTTGTTCCAACGCAACAATGACGACCAAATGGATGTGTAAACTAAAAGATAAAGGGCATTGACGACCAAATTGATGCGTAAACCAAAAGATGAAGGACGTTGATTGATTTGGGAGTTGGACCGAAATCACGACTTTTAAAAAGTTGAGGCATCACCTGGTCGAGTAGCTAAGAGAAAAACCGATAGGAGGTCAATTGCAGGAAGTAGAAGTTTTCTTTTCATAAATACCGAAATCTTTCCCAAATCAACGAAGAAAATAAAAAGAAAACCTTTGAGAGAGAGAGAGAGAGAGAGAGAGAGAGAGAGAGATCCAGAGCTTAAGGAATGGAGAAGATGAACCAGGCCTATGAGAAGGTGAAGATGCTGGTGGGTATGGAGGTGGATGAGGACGACCATGAAGCTGCTTCTTCTTCTGCTCTACAGGATACCAACTTCATCGACGACTTCAATCGCAACTGCACATTGTCCACCAAACAGGTAATTACTCTACAACTTCAATTCGCAGAAACCAACTCATGGCTCAGACTCAGATCTGCATTTCCTTTAATTTTTTTTAAATTTTTTTTTATCACTAAAATCTCAGTAGTGGCTTTATTTTCTTTCTGTGTGATTCAACAGAGGTTTTACGGTTTCGCCATATGCTTGGCTGCCGGTTTAACTTGTACGCTCTTGGTAAGTTTTATGCATCTAATTGTTTTACTTGTGCTTTTATTTTTGCTAGTCAGTTCTATTTTCAGAGTGTTGTGTTATTATCCAAAGGTAAGATTTTAGTGAATGGATGGTGATTATTGGGTAATCTGCTTTTATGTTATTAAGACATCTACTGTTTTAGGAGCTGTCAATTGTAGTTGGATATAATATTGGCCTGACCATACTAACAAGAAAAATGTTAAAATCCTAGTTTGAGCTTGATGCAGATTACTAAAATGTCTTCTGCTTTATATGATTATCAATCAAATAAAAAGTTATTTTATGTATCAATCCTTACATCCCCTACCACAGGTGGGTGGGGTGACGGCCAGTTTTGGTATGTTGGGAGATATCATTATTGCTGAACCCAATGCTTACATTGCATTTGCGGGTAAAATAGTAATTGAACAAACATTGAATAATTCAGTACCTGAGGATTCACATGACTAAGACTTGTCATTATGGTCTTTATAACTGTGCGTGGTTTGTGTCATATCAGTGTCTAAGTTGTGTTAGATGGACAAATATCACTATTTAGTTCTAAAAGTGTTTGCTCTGTTTCAAGTACGCATGTCAGATCATAATTTGTTCACGTTATTTAATACCTGACCTGGATAAAAAGTTTCGTGTTGGTTTTCTTGGAACTACTAGTTTCTCCTACCATGACACATTTGTGCTCAATAATTCTTGTTTCGGAATTGATTGCAAGTCAAAATCTCTTACATTCTACTCCTTGTGCACTTGCCAAACTCAATATGTTTAAGGCTTCAGTATCATAATAATGCTTCTATCATGTGTTGTACATATTTAGTATCTACAATATGCTTTTAGAGGGGAAGGCATTGAAGCTTCCTTGAAGAAAGTACTAACAGTTGGACTATATGTGTTTTTTTACTGTGTTGCTGGAAAATTGAACTCCTAAATTTAGTTTTTCAATTTAGAATTTAGTTAAAGTGACCTAGTAATTTTATTTTGTATATTACAGGACAATTGGAAAATTGACTTGAATACATGTTAGGGGCCTTCCTGCTATGGTACTGATATGTAGGCTTGTTTTCTTTTCATGTGACAGTCGATGCTTGTTTTCTTCCATCCAATCAAGTTTGGAATTACATTCACACTGGGAAATCTTCTTTCACTTGGGAGGTTTGTGTTAGATTTGCTTCTCATGTGATCCATAAGTGGTTTAAAATGTGATTGTTTTTTTGTTGCAAATTTTGGTAAGGTAGCATTTGATGTCAGTCAACATGAAACGCCTTGTGTGCTTAACTAAATAAATAGTAGTAAATGGTTCATTTACAAAAAGGTTTAAGGTTTCTTAAATTTTTTTTTTCAGTTGCTCTCTTGGAAATATCAGTGGAGGTTTGAGGTGTCCTAATGTGTGACATTAAAATTTCAGAATCTCTTCCTAACTTTAATTTAGTGGCCCAGTGTATTTGCCCCTTTTTTCTTTTTTTTTCTTTTGGCTAGCCAACTTGGAAGTAGGTTGGTTTTACCATCCGAATGTCCCATAGCACAAGTATATCCCTCAATGTTTTTTCCTCTTTTTTTTTCAGTCCGAAGTTCTCAATGTATTTCTCATTTTTTAAAAACATTGACAGCTTGAGACCAAACTGTTGAAATATCTTAATCCATCTCTCCAGGAAAATGGATATCTCCAGAAAATATTTTTAGTTCAATTCTTTTTTTCTCTCCATTAAAAAAAGTATAAAAAAGGGAAATTGAGAACTAATACAACAATCTGAATTCGTAAGAAGGGAGCAAATGTACTCGTTCTGTGGGACTGTGATGCAGGAGCATCAATCCAAGTAAAAAAGGGCTAAGTTTTAGATATTTTACTTTATTAAATTAATTGTTTTCCTCTCTTCATTAGGATTTTAAGTTTCTTGTTTTGTTTCTAATTTCCTTTATCAATTAGGTTTCCTAAGTAAACTAGGAATAGGAATTCTAGGCTGGTGTATTCTAGTATAAATAGGCTGTTAAGAGACTTTTGTATTCAGTTTTTTTATCAATACAATTTCAGACTTTAGTCTAAAGAGTTTTCTTTGGGAATTTAGCCCTAGAACTCAATTATCCTCGTTCCAGCTTCAATTCTACAGCTTTATCCTTCTATTATCTGTATTTTGTGTACGTTTGGGTCGCTGGACAGCCGCTTATAGCCGCTGCCCTGCATCAAATTGGTATTAGAGCCTAGGTTAATCCTTGCTCCACACCATGGTTGGACGTGCAAGAGGTTGTGGATGAGGGAACCAAACCCAACACACAGAGATGGCTGAGATGCGGCGTATGATGGAAGACTTGTCGAGAGCGGTGCAAGCCCTCCAACGACAGGAACGCGCAGATGCCTATATGGAGATTCCGGAATGCAACCGCGGACCCTTACACATACCCGAAGGTGGTGGTGAGGATGAATATGAAGACGAGACAGATGTTGACAACCCTTTTCATAACGCTGGAAACCATGGTATGGTGATAGAGGTGGATTGGAAGAGCGGTTGGTTCGTGCGTTGGATTTGAATGGTGGAGGAATTAAAATTGAAGTTGCTGATTTCTATGGAAAGATGCATGCCGAAGATTATTTGGATTGGGAAGCAAGCCTAGAGAATTATTTTGAATGGAAGGCTATGACAGATGATCGCAAAGTGTTGTTTGTAAAGCTTAAATTGAAGAGTATCGCGCTTCAATGGTGGAAGAGAGTTGAAGAGCAGCGTGTTCGACAAGGAAAGCAGAAGATCAACACATGGGATCATATGAAAGCCAAGTTACGCAAGCAGTTTCTACCAGCTGATTACACTATGGAATTATATGAACGGTTTCATAACCAAAAACAACGCGACATGTCTGTTGAATAATATACGTCTGAGTTTGATAGGCCATAATTTTGAATAAGAGAGCAAAGAAATGGGAATTATGTATGCGCTTGTTGCTAAAGAGATAGGAGCTGATCAACTGCTGAAATTTAATGAGTTTCCGAAAGAAATTCAGCACATATTAATGGAATTCCAAGAGCTAGTTGGTGATGAATTACCACAAGGTTTACCGCCAATGAGGAGTATTCAACATGCTATTGATTTGGTGCCTGGAGCAGCATTACCTAACCTTCCTGCATATCGGATGCCATCCACCCAACGAGCTGAAATTCAGAGGCAAGTAGACAATTTAATTGCTAAAGGGTTAGTGCGTGAAAGCAAAAGTCCATGCGCGGTTCTAGCATTGTTAACACCAAAGAAAGATCAAACATGGAGGATGTGTGTGGACAGTCGTGCCATTAACAAGATTACGGTGAAATACCAGTTCCCTATCCCTCGATTAAAAGATATGCTTGACATGCTGGCAGGATCTAAGGTGTTCTCCAAAATTGATTTGAGAAGTGGGTACCATCAAATTCGCATGAGGAGTGGTGACGAATGGAAAACAGCTTTCAAAACTCCTAATGGCCTTTACGAGTGGTTAGTGATGCCATTTGGACTCTCCAATGCTCCAAGCACATTTATGCGAGTCATGACTGAGGTATTAAACCTTTCTTGGGTTTATTTGTGGTGGTTTATTTTGATGACATATTAATACATAGTCAAACTTCTGAATAGCACTTAATCCATTTGCGGCAAGTTCTGGAGGCCCTTCGCAAGGAACAACTTTATATAAATCTTAAAAAGTGTTCCTTCTTGAGCGACAAAGTTGTATTCCTAGGCTTTGTTGTTTCAACTAATGGCTTGCAAGCAGATCCTGAGAAAATAAGAGCTATTATGGAGTGGCTGGTGCCACAATCTGTGGGTGATGTTCGGAGTTTTCATGGATTGGTTTCGTT